GGCTGGTGTAACGACACTGGCAGAACTCTCCCCAGCAGTCTTTTCCAGGGCTGTTGAGACTGTGGTGGGAATCCATTATGGCAAGCCCACGTTCGCACCTACCTCTGTGGTGTTGTACCCAGATTGCTGGCTTGTACCGGAACTACAAATGAGAGACTCTAAGCAGAAGTCAAAAAACTCAAATTCAGAAGGGGCCTTAAACACGCCTACACTTCAAAACACAATTAAATTGAACATGCCCAACAGAACACGCTGGCCTTCTAAGGGGAGCACACCCAAGCCCTTTCCTGCACCTTTGCTCTACGGAAGCCGTTTCCGCCTGTCAAACCAAGCCTGCACATTCCTCCCAGCAACGGCATGGCTTTACCACATTCTGTAATTGTCCCATCCCTCCCCACCCAGAAGCTGGGATGTTTGTGCGCATGCCCTGATATTACAGCTGTGCACCCAAATGCTATTGGGGGGGGGGGACATGAACTGTCATAAAAGGGCATCATTTTTATTCAATTTTACTGTTCGCAAGAGGAAATAAAGAGGAGCACCAATGTGCAAAACACTTCAGCCATCTCCTCCTTTAGTGCATGTCCCAGAACTGACCCCAGATTTCAACAGGTGGCTCGGAGTCACAAGACATCAGAAGAGCCCTGCTGGATCAGGTAGAGTTGCCGAATCCAAGTTGAGAAATTCCTGGAGATTTGGGCTGGGCCTGAGGAAGGAGGGGTTTGAGGAAGAGACGGCCCTCAGCAGGGTATCGTGCTACAGGGTCCACCCCCCAAAGTCACCCTTTTCTCCAGGGGAACTGATCTCTGTCGACTGCAGATAAGCTATAATACCGGGAGATCCCCAGGCCCCGGCTGGAGGCTGGCAACCGAGGATCAGGCCAGTGGTCCATCCAGTCCTGTTATCAGTCTCATACAGCGCAGGTGAAGCAACTGCCTTGGAGGTCCGGCTCACGGGGCACAGAGGCCAAGGCCTTTCTCCCCAGATGTGGCTTCCTAGCCCCGTACAGGAGAGGACAACCGCTGAGTCTCTTTGGCAGCTTTCTTCGGCATGGGCAGCAGCGTTCCTGGCCTTTCTGTGCCGGGGCTGACGTGGCATCGGTCGGACCCTCTCTCCTTCCCATTCCTGGCACAGAACCCCTGGCCTGGGCCTGGGCTGAGCAACGGGGCTCCTTGAGGTAACCGTTGCCTAGTCAGTGGCCTTTCTTTCTTATACAGAAAAGATGACAGGGAGCACGTCCGTGTGTGTGTTTGTGGGTGTGGGGGGGTGTCCATCTAGTTCAACATCCTGTTTCACACAGCAGCTGATCAGTTGCCCTGGAGGGCCAAGAAACAGGACATTAAATGCCAAGGCCTTCCAGGCGCTGCATCCAAGCATGGCGGGGGGGGCAGCCTCCGGGTGGCACCCGGAGATCTCCAGACGACCAAGATCGGTTCCCTTGGAGGAAAACGGTTGCTTTGGGTTCCCATCCGATGGCATCCTATGTCATTAAGGTGACTCCTCTCCCCAGACCCCCCCCTCCACAGGCTCCACCCACCAAAATCTCCAGGCATTTCCCAACCCGGAGCTGGCAGCCCTATAGCCTGGTTATTCAGAGGCCTACAGCTCCCGAGCATGGAGGTTCTCTTTGGTCGTCATGGCCAGGAGCCCCCGGCGGGCCTCTCCCCCCTACACGGATCTATCTACTCCCCTCTCCAAGCCATCTGTGCTCAAGAGGCCGTCACTGTGGCCACCGGCAGTGAGGCCCACAATTGAATTACTTGTTGGGTAAAGAATTATTTCCTTTTCATCGGTTCTGAGAAAGAGCCCTCCCTGTCCACTTTCTCTGCCCCTTGCATAACTGAAGAAGAAGAAGAAGAAGAAGGAGATTGGATTCATACCCCATGGCCCTTCACTACCCAAAGGAGTCTCAGAGCAGCTTACCATCTCCTTTCCCTTCCCCTCCCCACAACAGAAACCCTGTGAGGTAGGCGGGGCTGAGAGAGCTCTGACAGAAAGCGCTCTTTTTCGAGAACAGCTCTTATCAGAACTACGGCTTGCCCAAGGTCATCCAGCAGCTGCAAGTGGAGGAGTCGGGAATCAAACCCGGTTCTCCCAGAAACCTCTACCCCCCCCCCCAATCCTAATTTCTTCTAAACTGAAATCCCAGACGCAGGAGAGGTAGTCCGCCACCCCAGCACTCTGCAAACATTTCCCCCTTTCAGGTCTAGCTCTCTTCTCCCTGAGCACTTGGGCTTATGTCGGAATCCTCAGTCTTTGAGGGGCATGAGTGGCGCATACCCCAGAGCCCGCCGAAGAGCCATGCCGAGCCGGGGTCCTGTGCTACTCTGGTGTGCTGCTACCTAAGACAGAAGCCTTCAGAATCCCTTTTTCCCTGACAGCAGATGTTGAAAGCAAAGTCTGGTAATTACAACTGGGTAGAAAGGCAGAAAACACACTGGGAAAGGAGCAATTAGCACAGGCCATGGAAATAAAGACAGAAAACAATCTATTTAACTAATTGCCTTAATTAAAATCTAAATGCTTCCTGAGAAGGATTCCTGTCGGCACCGAAGGCTTTTCCTAAAAGAACAGGTTGATGGGCTTAGATCTTAATTCTTAACAGGGAGCCCCCCCCCCCAGCTGCCTGTCTGTGCCCACTGTGCCCGGTTGCATAGTTAAGAAGCAGGGGCTGGCACCAAGCAGAACCGAGAACCCCGCCTGCAACTTCACCACCTCCATGAAACAATGCCAGCGGGGGGGGGGGGGGGACGACGCAGAATGGATTTCTTCTTGCAAAGGTAAAGCAGCCTGCTAGCTGGTGGGCCTCCCCTCCCCCCCAAGGAGGAGCCAGCCTTTCACATCGCAAATAGGGAGTCTGAAGCGTCAGTTTTCCAGTTAAGGGCCTGCTCCAAACCAGAATAGCCGGGCTGGAATAGCAGTGCTGTTATCCTGCCACCCTCTCCCCAGGAAAGAGAGGGAGTCCACACTTCTGGAATGGAACCTCTGACCCTTCCCTTCAAGGAGGAAGCAGCCGGCGGGAGCACAGGTGACCTCTGAACCGGCTAGGGAGACGGAGCGCTTTACAGCTGCAGGTTCACACAGGAGAGCAAATTGCTGCTCTTCGGAATGGAAGCCGCAAAAGCAACCTAAAAATATTGTTAACGGCATGACTTGGCTCTCCCACGTGGCTTGACAAGGAACAAAACTCTGGAAACTCTTCTTGATCTCCAGCACCCCACCTCCACCACCAACGCCGCCACACGGACTCAGTAAACCTGGAGATGAGGGGGAAGAGCCGCTCACACTCCTTGCGCATCGCATCTCACCACACAAGGTGGACAAGCCAAGCTGGAGCTCGGGTGTCTCTCCAGGGGGAATGTCCCACTTTGCCTGGTGGCAGCTCTCCAGATCTCAGGCAGCAGAGAAAGGCCTTTCACAGCACCCTTGACCTCCAAGCCTCCCTTCGAGGGGGAAGATGGGGGGGAATAACCCGAGACCCTTCTGTGCCACCCTGGCCCCTGGAGGACTGTTACAGATCTGCTGCTCTGTTACAGATCTGTTGGAAAAGATGTGGAGAAGTGGGAACATTGGTGGCAGTGTAGAAGCATCAGATCTTTTTGGCAAGACGTTCTAAACCAAATAAAACTAATCACAGGTTACGAAGTACCATTCGACCCAACTCTAATCTTTTTGGGCACCTGGAAATCAAAAACCAGACCAACGTTCAGTCGCGATTTGATCACTAGCCTCATAGTGGCTGCTAAAACATCGGTGGCCTCTATAGGGAAATCAGACAAGGCTCCAACACGTACCAACTGGCTAAACAAAGTTTGGGATCACCTTATTTTAGAAAAAAAATCACTGACCGCTTACTTCAGTCAGACATCTGTCCTAAATCATCCAATTTTACGGGGAAATGGACTCCATTTATGGAATATATCTCAGCTTCGGACTCTCTACCCCAAAACTCTCTATACTTCAAATTACTAGACTACTAAACTTTGCCTCTTTGACCATGCTGCAATGCCTAGTTCTGACATCGTTATGATATAATTAAATGGGACACACGCTATTACTTCTTTGCATTAGCTCACTTTTATATCTACCGAAACACAAGGGTTATCGGTACTAAACGGAGCTTGTTGACAACAAAGCAAAACCACTAGTACTATAATGCTTTGCAAACTATTTACGCTGTTTATGCTGTTCTGTAAGTTTAACACTACTGACTATTACTTACTTTTGAGAAAAACTTAATAAAAATAATAATAATTAAAAAAGAAGATCTGCTGCTGCCCAGTGCCACGCAAAGTGTGGCATGCCCAGAGCCCCCCCAGCAAGCAGCATCCCGTGAACTGGGCATGGGCAGGAAAATGCCTCTGTTCCCAAAGGCTACCACAGAGACGCAGAGGGGTGGCAATCGGAGGACCACCCCCACCCCTGGCCCCCATGCCACTGAGTGGGAGCCACAGCCCTGGATCCTTCCAGTCTTGCTTTGTGGTCTTCTCCTGCAAGGTGACACCCCAGAGCAGCAGCCCACGGAGGGGCCCCCTCCCCAGTGGCAACGGCACGTTCTCAGCCCCGTCTCTCCTCCTGCCCACTCCCACTGCTCAAAAGAACACCAAACGGGTCAGGAAAACCGGGGTGCCAAAAGTGCCAGGGAAGAGCAGGGCTCCTGGGGTCCTTCCCGGGCAGCATCGTCAGTGAGGGCAAAGGATTCATGGAGAAACCTCCGCATGAGCAGGCAGAGCAGTCCGGCTGGCCGGCGCCTGCACCTCGCTTGAGGTTACACACACACGCACACCCGGACGAATGCCGACCAAAGATGGGGCACAGGGCGACTGCAAAGCGGGCCTGACTCTGGCAAGCACGGGGGCTGGCTGTGCGGCTGCTGAGTGACGTCCTTGCGGCCAGACGAACCCTGGAGCCGGGAGGGTCCCCACACCAACTCTCTGGCCGGCCCAGTGGCAGCCCTGCAGGGCGTTCTCTGGGCATGGCGGCAACAGCTGGGCCCCCACCTGGCTGCGAAGCTTCTCCAGCTCCTCTTTGCTCCCCAGCGGGCCGGCGTCTCCCCCCGCGGTGGCCAGCAGGAGCTGCACGTCCGCCAGCAGAGCGTGGGTCCTCTTCAGGTCGCGCCGGAGCCTCTTCTCCACGTCGAAGTCTCGGTGGCCAATCTGGAGGGGGGCGGGGGGGGGGAAGGAGACGGGTCACAAACATCTCTGCATCCGGAGGCAACCTGCCAGCCGCTCGGGCCTCCCCGGGGCAGCCCTCCCTGGAAGGTTCTTCTGAGCCTGCTCGCCAGGCAGAGGCAGGCCAGCCGGCAGAGGTTTCACGCTGCCGCTTCCAGCAGCAGAGCCAGCATCTCTTGGCTGCTCCAAGAGACAGAAGCCAAGCTGTGCTTCACCGCCCTACTCCGCAGGGAGGGCAGCCTGAGCTCCCCACCCGAGGGTCCCACAGTTGATCACTGAAGCTGGGGACACAGCAAGGCTTTGCGCAGAGGGTGTGAGTCACACGTTACAAAACCATGGTGGCTGCCACTGGAACTTTCCACCCAATCTGCCTCTGGAGCTCCGTGCTCAAAATTCAGTTCCTTGGCATGCGCAGGCCCAATGTGGATCAGGACTGTGGACTGTGGGGAGAGGGGGCTTAAACCCCCCCCCCATTCTCCCAAAGGGAAATGACCCTGCAAAGCCACCCTGTAACTGCTCAGCAAGTTTCCCCACTGGGCCATTAGCAGCCCCTGGGGCGGTTTCAGATGGAGAAAACTGTGGTGGGGAAGGCTTAAAGCCCGCTGTTCCCGTGTGCCACGGTCCTGACCCAAGTGGGCTTGCATGCGCCTGAGAATCGAGTTCCAAGGACCGAACTCCCAGAACACGTCTGACCGAAACTAGTCTGGTGGCCACAAGGACATGGCGATCTGCCCACTGGCACGCTGAGGCTGCCTGCTCCAGGCTCAGGCCCCTCGTCCATCTAGAGGCCTTTCCCAACACACGAGATCTGAGATGTCGGGGGCTGAATCGGGACCCTTCCCTACACAGAGCTGCGGTGGCACCGATGGCCTCCTTCCCTCTCGCGCCTGGTGGGTTCTGCGCCTTGGCCCTCTGCCCGCCTCCCTTGCACTGGCCGGGGGCAGGAGGAGAGAAGACCCCCTTGGTTGGCACCCGTGCCCTGGGGAGGCCTCCTTGGACAGCCCGGGAGAAAAGCCGACCTTCCTCCCAACCCAGCAAGGTACTGCAAACGGAACCTGGGCTTTGCGGGTGTAAAGGCCTTCCGGGAGGAAAAACATCCGCCTGGAGCCCCTGCGAAGGCGGGACTGGCCGGGGCAACCCTGAAAACTGGGTGCCCGTTTGCCAGAAGGGGAGCCCACGCCGAGCGGGGCGGCCCTCTCCACCTTTTCAAAGGGATTTCGGGTTTTGTGGGATTTGGGCAGCGGTCCCCCAGCACGGCTCCACTCCTGCTTGAAATGCAAGCCCTGGTGTGCAAGAACCCCTGCCAGGCCATCTCCTCCCTCGCTGCCGTGATGCTCCACTGGGTTGAGCGCACAACACATCTGCCGGAATAAATTAATTCCGTGCCCTAAATACCAATCTGGGCTGTTGCCACCCCTGCCCTGGGAGCTGGGCCGTCACCATCCTCCCGGCTCATTAACAGAAACAGGGGCCCGAGAGGGCGGCCGTGGACCTCACTCTGCTGGAGAGTCATGAGCCGGCTCCCTGCTCCTTCCTCCCACCAGGAGGGGTGGCCAGCAGAAAGGTCAGCCAGGGGCAGCCGTGGCATCTGGAACGCCCCGTTTCCGTGGACGTGAGGCTGAGAGAAATCTTGGGGGACTAAACGTTGCAACCTCTACACACAAAACCATCCCTGCTTGGAGAAAACTACACACCAAGAAGCAGGGCTCCAGCCCGGCCTCTCCCTGCTAGTTTTCCATATTAGGGGAAGGGGAAGAAGGAGGAGGAAGAAGAAGAAGAGGAGGAGGAGGAGGAAGAAGAAGAAGAAGAAAAAAGGGAGGATGAGGAGGAAGAAGAAAAAGAGGAGGAGGAAGAAGAAGAGGAGGAGGAGGAGGAAGAAGAGGAAGAAGAGGAGGAGGAAGGGAGCAGCTGCAAACATCTGCTGGCCCCTTGCTGGCCCGGGACTGGCACGCAGGTGACTCTTTTGCCAAGGGGCCGAAGGGGGCCGCATCCTACCTGCTCGCAAAGTGTGGCGATGAGGCCTTCCAGGTCCTGCTTCTCACGGAGGATCCTCTGCTTCTCCTCGCACTCCTGCTCACACTGCATCTCCAGCTGGCGAAGCTGCAAACAGGCCAAGCACAGAGAGGGGGGGCAGCCTCGGTGAGCATTGCTGTGAGCATCCCTGGGCCCCTTCACGGACACCCCCTGGCTGGCTAGGCAGCCTCCAGGCCCGAAAGCGCCCTGAGGGAATCCGGAGCATTTTGCGTTGCACTTGAGGCAATGCTGGGAAGCGGGACAGAAACGGGGGGGGGGGGCCACAGCCCCTGGCCCCCCGCCTCTTAAGCCAGAGAGAGGCTCCTGCCCTCTCCCCCAGGGGCCTGCTCTCCAGTCCCACCCCACCAGAGTCAGTGCAAGGAACCCCCCCACACACACACAGGTGTGTCTCCCTCCCACCTTCCCGTATGCCATTCCAGCCCCCATGGGTGCTCTGAGCTTTCTCCATCTGCTTCAGGAGGACCGCAGCAACCGCCCATTCGGGACAGTGCTCCAGAGCCAAGAGTGCCCAGCCGGGGCCCCCGGGGGAGCCAGCACGCAGGGCCCCAAGACAATGGCCCTCCCACCCAGTGCTCCCTCTAAGCTGTGGAGTCTTGTGAGCAAAGATTCTACTTTGTGGGCTGTTGGCATTAAAGTGGTGAGCAAGCGATTGGGCTGCTGCATACATTAGCTTGCTCTGAAGCCATCCCTTCCTGAGCTGAGACAAAAATGTGTGAGCTGGAGGCTAAAAAACTGCGAGCTAGCTCACACTAACTCAGCTTAGAGGGAACACTGCTCCCATCTCACCCATACCCAGCCCTGGCATGCCAAGGTAGACTGCCTTTGTACATGGAGGCTACCCTCAGATGTCACTTCCAGTCACTGACAAGGGTCTAGGCAGCATGAGTTTGTCTAATCCTTCCCCCTCCCTCAAGTGATCCTAAACTAGTGGTAATAACGGGGTTCTTGGCCAGTGAATTCCACACCCACGCAAAGGGAGAGCCATCTGGCCTGGGCCCAGGGGGCCACCCCCTGCTGAGCCAGCATCCCGCCCCCCCTTCGGCCCATCCAGGCCACTCCTGTCTCGGGCAGAGAAAGGTCTTCCATATCCCCTCTGACCCGATCCTCGTGTTCACTGGAGGTGCTGCCGGGAATCGAACCGGGGTCTTTCCGGATGCCGAGCAGGTGCTCTGCCACGGAGGAGCCACAGCCCCCCCCCCTCCACCGCATACCCGTTTCTGGCAGGACTGCCGGACGTCCTCCAGCTCCTCCTCTTTGTCCTCCAGCTCCTTCTGGTGAAGCTGCTTCGTCCGCTCGATCTCCAGTTCCAGTCTCAGGTGCAGCTGGAGGGGGGTGAGGAAGACAACCGCCCTGAGCATGCACAGCCTCACAGACATTACTGGGCTGTGAACCCGACAGCGACACAGTCAGGCGGGGCAGAGACAGAGACTTGCCAGGGCCTCCCCCAGGCCCGTAGCTACAGGAGGGGATATCTCGGGGCCAGGCCCCCTAACATACTCCCAAGCCCCCCCACTTCCCATCCCACCCAGGTGCTCCTTTGGGGGGATGCAGGAGTGTGTGTGGGGTGCCCCCCGACTTATTTAACCCCCTCCCTGAATTAAAAAATCCTGGCTACGGGTCTGGCCTCCCCCCCACCGAGCACATGACAGAGGAGAGACCCAGGCAGGGGATCGCCCCTTCTGTGCCACCTGCTCCTCCTGGCCCGTTGGTGCAATGGACTGTGCTGCTTCACAGCGGAGGCGGAGACCTGGCTGGGATGCCGCGCCCTGCCCAGCCCAGCCCCGCCCCACAGACCCCTCACCTGCTCCAGCTGCTCAATGGTGCGCGCCTGGCCCCTCAACTCCTCCTGCTGCTCGGCCGCGCTGGCCTCCAGGTCCCAGAGCTTCTTCCGGAGGGCGGCCACGGCAGTGGGGTCCAGGCTGCTGGAGGCGCTGAGCTCCTGCACGCGGGCGCCCAGCACCGCGATCCGCTGACTGAGTCCGGAGTTTTCGGATTCTTTCTCCTGGGGGTACGGAAAGGACCACAGGCAGGACACAGAGTTTGGCCCGCTAATCATGTCAGGAACAAGATTTTTTTGCTTTGATAGTTGAAGTTCTAAAGCTGGAGTACATCTTGCCAACTTCCGCCAGGCATGTTTTCAGCCCAGCTCCCTTCAAAGCGGCATCACCGGCATCCCCAACAGCGCCCACGTCGATTTCCTGATGAGCCCCACCCAAGGAGCTGGTGGGTAGCCTATTGCTTCAGTCCTGCAGGGACCCGGCCGCAAAAGTGTGGGTCCCCCCCCCCAACCCGCAGAATCCGAGATGAGCCCCTTCCGCCCCGCCCGCCTTTACCTCCAAGCGCTGCTGCAGCTTGGCCAGCGCGTACTGCAGGCCCGTGTTCTCCAGTGCCACTTTCTCCCGCAGGCTCTTCTCAAAGGCCGACTCTCCCAGGGCTTGGGCCAGCTGCATGTCAAACCTGCCAGAGGGGAAGCCTTCTGTTGGCCATCCATCAGCCACCTCAGGAGGAGCCCCATGAGAGGACCACCCCCAGAACTGGACCCAGAGAGACCTGGGGGGACCAAGGCTCCCTCTAAGCTGCGGAGTCTTGGGAGCAAAAATTCTACTTTGTGAGCGAGCGACATGGCTGCTGCCTACATTAGTTTGCTCTGGAGCTGTCCTTCCAGAGCTAAGACAAGAATCTGTGAGCTGGAGGTTAAAAAACTGTGGGCTAGCTCACGCTAACTCAGCTTAGAGGGAACACTGCTGAGGACCCATTGCTGGAGGCAGGAAAACGGGAACCAGATCTGCCGCTGGCAGGAGGCCCCCATGACGCAATAAGCATCTTTGACATTACCAGAGAACAATAATTCAAAAGACAGTTTAGATCTTAAATCTGCATATATCCTTAAAAGTGCATGTACTAAATGTCTGATTTGAAAATAAAATAAAATAATGGGGGGTTTATCCCCCCCCCCATCTTTATCACCACCTCTTCATATGATAATATATATTGACCTATAATTAATGCCTCTGAAGTATCCAAGTTATTTTTTCTCCAGGTTTGGAGACTACCTAAACTAGATAGATCTTGTATCTGTTCATTAAAGAGTCTTGATGTCATTGGTGACTAAAACTGCCCTGTACCAAACTGCCAATACTGAATAAATAACAGTATTATCCCAAGTCAATTTTCTATTATCATACCAAATCAGATCTTTCCATTTTAAACCATTTTTAAGAAAAGTTTCCTGATAGGTATTCTTAGGAAAAAAATATTTAAGCAGGGATAAAAACAGCAGAACAATGAATAAGAGTCAAGAGTCCATGCGTGTGTTTGAAAAAAGGAAACAGCTTTACTAGAGCTAACATGGTGAAAAGTAAATGGGATGCCAGGCAACAGACACTAGAGCCTACATGTTTACTGCTAGAAAATTACTCGGAAGAATGGCACCTCTTCTTCACCAAGAAACAAAGGGACGAAGAGACCCCAAGATGCTAAATAGCCAATACACTGATTTCCAATCACAAAGCTAAAGTTCAGGTCATTTAACTAAGACCTCCTGTAAGGTTGGACTGACGTTTCTCACTTAGTAGAAGATTGGATACAATAAACACATGTGACTTCCTGTTGACCAAACAAAGTTAACAGTATAATTACTGAAGTGTTTTAACTTGTTAAACCCAACATTTCCAAATACTGATTTTCTTCCTCATGTCTGTACCATTCTATTTCCTATTTAAATCTGCAGCTTTTCTTATAAATATACCTGATGTAAGCTTTGAATATGTCCTGTATCACTGGCCAAGCTGCTTCTATGGTGACATTGAATAGGAAAAATTAATCTATACTTGATTGAACTAATTCCTGAACATCTTCTCTTTTCAAAAGCCGGTTTCCCAACTTCCAATAATTTGGATGACTTCCAGCTGCTTTTGGATGGATATTTTATTGCTGTTGTTTATTATGCATTTTAATATGTTCTGACTGTTGTTATATAATCATAAACCACCTGAGTAGCCAACATGGCAGGACGGGACTGTTTTACATCAAGCGAGAAAAGCCAAAAGGCTGGTGCAAGCCAGAGATCTCCCCCTGCTGCCAGTCTCACATCCCCCTCCTTCCCTTCCACACCTGTCTCAGCTGTCTGCACGCAGCCCCAGCTGGGCCCCTTGGCTCTGCCCTGGGTACAAGCCCTAGAGCCACTGATGGGACCACTAGCCCCAAAGCAGGAGAAAGAGGGACCACCACCCACCCACACGACACGAGGCCTCAGACCTTCTTGCAGCCTTGACTGGCTGTTGCTGCAGAGGGTGAGCAAAATTTGAACAATTCAGCAAGAACCACCAAGCAAACCAGTTGGAGCTACAGGGACAGCAAAGGGCTGGGACTCACCAGCCATTCTGCAGCACAAACTAGGGGACGATGCTGGGCACGTTGCATTCCTGGATTTAAGCACAGACCTAAAAGCCTAACGTTTGAATGGAACAAGCACGTCAGTGCAAATGCATCGTGCAGGTACGTGCCAAAGGAGCCGGGGTGGCCGCTGTTCCTTGCGAAGTGTGTCCTGGGAGGCAAACCAGAGCTTGCCCTGGGCAGTGTGTGTGTGTGTGGTTCGCACTCACCTGTCCCCACCAGTGGCAAAGAGAATAAGAACATAAGAACATAAGAGAAACCGCTGTTGGATCAGGCCAATGGCCCATCCAGTCCAACACTCTGCGTCACACAGTGGCCACAAATACCAGGTGCCATCAGGAGGTCCACCAGAGGGGCCAGGACATGAGAAGCCCTCCCACTCTTGCCCCCCCCCCAAGCACCGAGAATACAGAGCATCACTTGCCCCAGACCGAGAGTTCCTACCTATACCTTGTGGCTCATAGCCACCAATGGACCTCTGCTCCATAGGTTTATCCAGTTCCCTCTTTGAGCCGTCTATGCTTGTAGCCGCCGCCATCTCCTGTGGCAGTGAATTCTATGTGTTAATCACTCTCTGGGTGGTGAAGAAGTCCTTCCTTTTATCTGTTCTAACCCGACCGTTCAGCAATTTTGTGGAGTGCCCACGAGTTCTTGTATTGTGAGAAAGGGAGAAAAGTCTTTCTCGACCTGCTCTATCCCATGCACAATCTTATAAACCTCGATCACGTCACCCCTCAGCCGTCGTTTCTCCAAGATAAAGAGCCCCAAGCGCTTTAACCTTTCTTCATAGGGAAAGTGTTCCTATGAAGAAAGGTTCAAACGCTTGGGGCTCTTTAGCTTGGAGAAATACCTCCACTTCAGCCCAGATGCCTCCAGTTCAAACAATAGCAAAGTGGTGAAGAGCCGTGCCCCAGAGTATGGGGAGCCAGTGAGACTGCAGGCCCAGAGGGACCCACCTTGATCTACTTAGAAAAGACCTGCTTTGCCTCTCCAGAGAGCCCGCTCCAAGCCGCTGACAGTCCTCACAAAGCTGGCTAGAAGCGGAAGGCAAAAACCACTTAAAAAGCTCCGCCCATTAATTAAAAGCCTGGGAGTAAAAAAGGGAAATTTAGCGAGGTGCCTCAAAGAGAGTCGGGCAATTGGTTCGAAATGCTGTGATAAATATCGATCTTCAAACGCACAACCTCCAAGAACTTCCGCCAGAGTTGAATACTTCCCAATAATGGGAGGAAATTTGAATTATTTGATTAGATTAGCAATTCATGACCTTGCCATTCATAATTCATGATTTTCTAATCTAAAATTCAGCATAAAACTCTCAGCGCCTCCGATGCATGGACTTGGGAGTTTTAGCGTCTTTCACAAAACATGTGACAGGACTTGCAGGCCGTGCCAGCTGCTAACAAAGCGCTGAGTCCAGGGAGGGAAGTCGAATCGGGAGCAGAAGGGCTCAGAGCAGGAAGAAGGGAGCAGGTGAGAGGCTGCGGAAGGAATGGAGAGCGCAGCATCAGGCGAGACAGAAAGACAGGAGCCGCTGTGCAGCCAGGCTCCACAGCAGAGCGGCTGCCAACACAAGGCGCCGAGCAGTCCGGGTCAGAGCCACTCCTGGGAAAACAGAGGGCTCGGCTCATCTTTACATCACAGAGAGCAGGACCACAGGAAGCAACAGTCTAGGGTGGTAATGGATGGGGAGAGTGCAGGGAAGCACTTGAGGGGACCACCAGCATTCCCAGAAAATAAGCGGAAGGCAGTCTTGAATTAGCATAACATCAGAGAAGCCAATACTGGATCAGGCCAGTGGCCCATCCGGTCCAACACTCTGTGTCACACACAGTGGCCAGAAATACCAGGTCCCATCAAGAGCAGTGTTCCCTCTAAGCTGAGTTAGTGTGAGCCAGCTCACAGTTTTTAGCCTCCGGCTCACACAGTTTTTGTCTTCGCTCAGGAAGGATGGCTCCAGGGCAAATTTATCAATCCAGTAGCCAAACTGCTCGTTCACAATTTTAATGCCAGTAGCTCACAAAGTAGAATTTTGGCTCACAAGACTCCACAGCTGAGAGGGAGCATTGATCAGGAGGTCCACCGGCAGGGCCAGATCTCCAGAATGCCTCCAACTCTTGCCCCCCAAGCACCAAGGATACTGGAGCATCACTGCCCCAGGCATAAGAACATAAGTGAAGCCATCGGTGGATCAGGCCAGTGGCGCATCCAGTCCAACACTCTGTGTCACACAGTGGCCAAAACCCATGGGCCATCAGAAGGTCCACCAGCGGGGCCAGGACACTAGAAGCCGCCCACTGTTGCCCCCCCCAAGCACCAAGAATACAGAGCATCACTTGCCCCAGACATAAGAACATAAGAGAAGCCATCGGTGGATCAGGCCAGTGGCGCATCCAGTCCAACACTCTGTGTCACACAGTGGCCAAAACCCAGGGGCCATCAGGAGGTCCACCAGTGGGGCCAGGACACTAGAAGCCCTCTCACTGTTGCCCCCCCTTCCCAAGCACCAAGAACATCCCTTGCCCCAGACACAGTGTTCCATCTCTACCTTGTGGCTCATAGCCACTGTGGGACCTCTGCTCCAGATGTTTATCCAATCCCTTTTTGAAGCTGTCATGCTTGTAGCTGCCACCACCTCCTGTGGCAGTGAATTCCATGTATTAATTACTCTTTGGGTGAAGAAGGACTTCCTTTTCTCTGTTCTAAGCCTGCTGCCCATTAATTCCATGGAGTGCCCACGAGTTCTTGCACTAGTCAGGTTCAATCTGGTTAAAAAGTCTGCCCATTGTGGGGGGAACCTATGACCAAGGAAGACTGAGCCCTACGAGGAAAGGCTAAGGGCCTTGGGAATGTTTAGTTTGGAGGAGACTGAGTGGGGACATGATTGCTCTCTTTCAATATCTGAAAGGTTGTCCTTTGGAGGAGGGCAGGGAGCTGTTCCAGTTGGCAGCAGAGGAGAGGACCTGAAGCAACAGGTTTAAATTACAGGCAGAAAGGTATCGGCTGGATATTAGGAAAAACGTTTTCACTGACAGAGTGGTTCAAAGGTGGAATCCGCTGCCTAGGGAGGTGGTGAGCTCCCCTTCACTGGCAGCTTTCAAGAAGAGGCTGGACGAACATTTGTCAGGGATGCTTGAGGCTGGTCCTGCATTGGGCAGGGGGTTGGACTAGATGGCCTCTATGGCCCCTTCCAGCTCTGTTATTCTATGATTCCAAGTAGCCCCACTTTCACCCCCAACTCATTTGGACGGTGGCTCCCGTTCTTCCCCAAGGATGCAGAAGGCGGGTCCCACCCTGCAACCCTCGAAGGAGGGCTCCTTGGCCAGGAGGGGAGAGGCCAGGGAGGCACACAGCATGTCCTTCCCCAAAAGGGAAGAGGCAGACTCCCCCTCTCCTCCCCCTTCAGACGCCAGGGAGATCTCTCCTCCCCCTGACCAGCTCCCCTCTAGGCTGAGTGTGAGCCCTCCCCTCTCCCCCAGGGCCTGGAAAAGGCTGACTCCTCCCCCCCCCCGCCCTCCTCAAAGCCTTACTTCTTCTGCTTCTTCTCCAGCTCGTGGCTGCGGCTCTGCTGGCTCTCCGTCAGGACGCGGGTGTCTTCCAGGTCGCAGGTCAACTGCTTGCACTTCCTCTTCAGCCGCTGGGCCACCCGCTTGGCCCCCTCATAGGCCTTCTGGGCCTGGCTGAGCTGCAAAGGGCAAGCGTCTGGGTCAGCTGCAGCTCAGCAGCGGGTGCAAGAGAGGCACGCAGGGCCACAGTCCGCTCTTTGGCCCGGGACTGTCACACCTTAGCCCACGTTCTGTTGCCGGTAGTGACCTGGTGCAGCTGGGAAGTTCCCAAGCAAGGCATGAAAGAAGGCAGCCTACCTTTGCCCAGGAAGGGGCACTCAGGTAGACTGCCTCTGAGCATGGAAGTTGCACCAGGCTCTCCCTTTAACAGACTGCCATCCTGTCTGCCATGAACGTGTCTAACCCATTTCTGTACGGAGCAAGGAAGCCTGCCCGGGCACCCAAACTAAACAGGGCACGTGCAAGCAGATGGCAGGAGTCCGCCTGGCCATTAACTGGAGGCCCACACGGAACCTCCCCTCCCTGTGCTGCTCCGGGCTGCACTCGTCACAAGGTCCTGCGTCCTCAAACCTTTGCAGAGAAGGGGATTCAAAGGAGCAAAGCCCATTAAAGAGTAACTTCAAATAAGCAGAACATCGAATTAATGAAGCCCGTAATTCATAGACAAGCTAATGGGCTGCCCGCCCTCACCCGGGCGCCCCGGAATAGCCAAAGCTTCATTGCGCTTTAATGTACGGTGCATTTAGGCTGTTGTTTCTGCCCGTGCTTCGCTCAGAGTGACTGGGTTTTCATCCCATACCCTTCATGGAGGCTTTTCCCCCCAAAAAAGCAATTTGGGAGTCTCAGCTGGGAGTATTCATGTGGAGCTGCCGCCCCAAATTAAAACAGAAGGCTCACCTTTGAGGGGAGCCACAGCCCACCGTGACTGTCAGCGGGAAACCCCCCCCCATTCCTACACGAGTGTCCCCAGTATGCCTCTGTGGAGGGCAGACAGCGCCACAGCCTCCAGACACTATGGGGGGGGGGCAGCTCCAGAAACCCCCGCCCCGCCTTCCTCCGTGGCCCACCTTCTGCTCCAGCTCTTGCTTGGAGTTCCGCTCCGACTCCAGCCTCTCCTCCAGCTGCGAGACCCTCTTCCGGAGGAACCCGATCTCGGTCTGAGCACAGTCCAGGCGCATCTGCCACTCGCCCTCTGTCGGAAAGAGCGGCACCACCGGACAAGGACAGTGTCTTCCAGCCCACCCGAATGCACGCAGGCCACACACAGGTGGAAGCAGAAAGGGGCCTGGGGGCCTGGGAGGGATCCGTCCTGGAGCACAGGACCCACTCCAGAGGAATGTGGCTGAATGCTGAATTAGCAGCAACAGGAGGTGGCCTGGAAGGCCAGGGAAGGCCACTGGGTGGGAGGGCGCTTAGCTCCCCCCCCAATGATTTAAGCACTCTCCCAGAGCTATGGTTGCCAGCTCTGGTTTGGGAAATTCCTGGAGATTTGGGGGTGGAGCCTCCCGAGGGCAGGAGAGGGGAGACCTTAGCAGGGCATAATGCCGCAGAGCCTGCTTGCCCTCCTAAGATGGCATTTTCCTCTGGTGAACTGATCTCTGTTGTCCACAGGGTCTCCAGGTCCCTCCTGGAGGCTGGCAACCCTACCCACAGCTGCAATTTACCCCCCCCCCCCATGTTTGGGAGGAGGCAGGTGCAAGCATGTTGCAGAACGGGTGCTTGGATAGTGGTGGCACACCTGAACCTGCTCTGGCCGCTGAGCTAACTTTGCCCGACAGCTTAAAGGGGGATTCTGCCTTACGGAACGGCCTGCCCAAAGAGGCCAGGGAGGCTCCCGCTCTCCCGGCCATGCAAACCTGGATTATCTAAGGTTTGCACCGATAATAGGGTTTCTGCAGGGCTATTTTTGGGCAGGAACGCACAAGAACGGAGTTCCGGCTGGCTCCCAAGTTGGCCACGCCCAGCAGGAACTCATTAGCATAATAGGCCACACCCAATAGCAGAAACTCATTAGGATTGGCTACATTAGGGGTGTGGCCTAACATGCAAAGGAGTTCCTGCTACAAAAAAAGCCCTGGACCGTTTTGACAACAAACAAGGTCAACAGAATAAGAAGCAAAAGGTGGGTGTGGCTGGATGACTATACTTCTGGTAACATGTGGGTGCGGCCTAATATGCTAATGAGCTATGCTCTCATGGGGGTGGCTGGATATGCTAATGAGTTTCTGTTGTTGGGTGTGGCCTGTTATGCTAATGAGTTCCTGCTGGGCTTTTTCTACAAAAAGAGCCCTGGGTTTCTGTGTACAAAATGGTTTACAGACGCACTTGTATCAGTGATCAGGGACTGCGGTCTATGCTGCTGAGTACAGCTGAGAATAAGATGGATCCTGTGATGTAATTTCTGCACTGCTTAAGGTGTCCTGTTCATACTTTGCTGTGCTCCAGTCCTATCTCTTAGATTCCTGGTTGTTTCCAGGCACCTACAATCCTAGGGCATCGTTTACTGAATGTCCAATCCTGTCGCTTGTACTGACTCACTCGGCGTAATCCGTCTTGAGTCCCTGTGGGTAAGGCGGACTGGGAATAAATGAAAGTAAATAAAGACATTCAAGGTATTCCTCCCCAGTCTCAACTAGGCCATGGGCGAGACAGAAGCCCTTCTGCCAGCCACATGGCTGAAGGAGGTGGTTTCCAACAGCACAGGGTTAGCCGTAGGAGAAGAAAGCACGGACTGAAAATGTGGGCCCCTGCTTTGACATCAAAAGCATCCCGTGGCCCGCCACGGTCAGGGAGCGGGCATGCCAGGCCTTTTGCCTGCCAGTGATCTTCACGGCCCCCTGGGAGGGAAGAGGAAGCTTGGCTCCTCTCTCGCCACCTTCCCAGTGACCTTAGCTGTTCTACACACACACACGCACTCTGCGATTCACAGGACTGCCTGGGACCATCCACTGCTACAAAGTCCTCTTGACATATCTGGAGCACAAATCCCCCCGGGCGACAAAGGCTTTACACAAACTGACACCCTCCCCGTCCGTGCCGGTGCTGCTCTCCTCTTAGAATGACGAGGGGAGACGGATGTCACTCCCTGAAGTTGTTAGATGGAGCAATCCGGAGTGACAGAAGAAGAAACAGGCTGGAAGGAGGGCAGCCCACCCCGGAGAGAGAAAGGAGGCTCACCAGTCAGGATGATGGAAAGGGGCAGATTCTCTCTCTCTCTCTCACACACACACACATATGCAGTCATAATTTGCAGAGAAAAATGACCTGTTCTACTCAGGTTATTTGCCGTGGGCTCAGTGCTGTTGGGAACTGCTTTTTTCTTCCCATGCTTCCCCACAGAAGCCAATACGCCCTCTAAGCTGTGGAGTCTTGTGAGCAAGAATTCTACTTTGTGAGCAACTGGCATTAAAGTTGTGAGCCAGCAATTTAACTACTGCATATATTAGTTTGCCCTCCTTCCTGGAGCCCCATCCTCCCTGAGCTGAGACAAAAATGTGTGAGCCAGAGTCTAAAACACTGTGAGCTAGCTCACACTAACTCAGCTTAAAGGGAACACTGCATAGAACTGTTGCATTTGTGAATGTCCACGGGTTTACTTGGCTTTTCTCTCAGTTTCCCCCTATCTGCTGTACTGTGACGTTTTGGGAAAGATGGCTGCTGCGTGGGTTAGGAAAGTTCGATTCTCCCAGTGCCACCCATTTCCCTTACCCCCATCAATGATTTTTTTTAAAAAAATCAGCAATTGAATATAATCCTAGCATTATAACATTATAACAATCTGTGCATCAAGTTCTCTAAATTCCCAGCTTTCACCAAAAAAAGAAGCCTCTTCCCCTTTTGTTGTGAGGATATAAGGGGAAAGGCAACTCTCCTCAACAACGAGGCTAAAAGCTTTTTCCTTTTCCTTTTAATGAAAGCTGGGAGAGCTCAATACGCAGATGGTTATAACTTTATAACAATATTCAGTTGCCATTTTTTAAAAAATAAACAAACCTGGAAAAGCCCTGGTGGCATGGGGCAGGGTGGCCTCTGCCAGGGGACTGGGGCAAGGATGATGCAGGGAAATATGCCACATGGAAGCCATGCAGTTGCAGTGATGTGTGGAGAGCTGCAGCAGCAACTGAGAAAGTATGCAAGCTCGGAGGCCAGAGGACCCCGCCTGCAGTGAGGAGGAGGCAGCGCAGGCTACCACCCAGCAAGAGAGCGGCTGCGTACCTTTCCCAGAGCTTCGGGCTTCAAGGTCGCGGATCTGCAGCTCCTGCTGCACTTCCTCCAGTCGCTTTTCTGCAGACTCCAGTTTCTTCTGCAGCTGGTCATATTTGCTCTGAAACAGAGAAATGGCATGGGAATTTCTTCACCCTCAAGGCAGCAGCCTATTCATTTATATCTCTCCACTACTCCATGGAGCTCGGGCCAGCATTCATGGTCTTGGAGGGGCCGTGGCTCAGAGGCAGAGCCTCTGCTTGGCACGCAGAAGGTCCCAGGTTCAATCCCCGGCAGCATCTCCAGTTTAAAAAGGACCTCTGTGAAAGACCTCTGCCTGAGACCCTGGAGAGACACTGCCAGTGAGAGTAAGCAATACTGACCTCGATAAACCAAGGGTCTGATTCATTAAGAGGCAGCACCATGTGTACAGACACCCTCCCCCAACATCAGTACACAAGGGTTTTTTGAAGCAAAATGGCACAAGATTTCCCCTAAAATGCACAGGTGCATGTGCCAGGAGGCCTGACAGGACTGCCAAAGCATGCATGCCAGCGTGTATCACCCAGCCAGCAGTCTCTGTGTGTGTGTGTGTCTTGGATCCTCCATACACCACCACTTGCATGTGGGCTGCCTCCTTCTCTCCATGAAATGCTGGTCATTTCATTCCGCCGCAGACCTCAAGCTTCTGGACTGCTAAATATCACCTTCCCCGAATTTCTTTTCCCCGCTACTCCCTTCTTATTTTCCTCTTAGTTAGCTTGTGTGTTCCCTGAGTGCTTTGTGTGTGTGTGTTTTACCTCTTTTATGATTTTCCAATAAAAAACCTTTCCAGTTGATTTTCAGCTGGAAACTTTGAGAGTTCTCTGGGAAATATTCTGGTATACATTGGTGGAGATCCCTAGTTACCCCCCTTTCGCTTGTTTCCAATTAAGTTAATTCCCCCAATTAATTAATTTTTGGGCAAATTGGGTAACAGCACTGGGAGGGCTTCTGGAGTTTTAGTCCACTGGTGGACCACCTGATGGCCCCTGGGTTTTGGCCACTGTGTGACACAGAGTGTTAGACTGGATGGGCCATTGTCCTGATCCAACGTGACTTCTCTATGCTCTTATGTTCTTAAGCTGCAGAGTTCACCCCTGTTTCTCAGTATCTTCAACCTCTTCCTTGGCTGAAACAGAGCTCTTCACAGCCTTCCCTGTGTCTGCCTGCCCCCGTGCCACTCAGTGGCCGCAGCCGTTCCCCTCCCATGCACACAATCCATTCCCGATGCCGGCAAGAAGTTCCTGCTTCCACCCACAGGGACCTCCACAGATTGAGATCAGTGCAAAACAGAGACTAGAGTAAGTCTTGCCTCCATTATATTGTGGCTTAAGTTGAATTACCTTGAATTACTAACATCCTTAATCCTTTGGGACTGTTTTCAATCTCCCTGGCTAATGGCAGTCCACCACAAATTGAGGATTTTAGGCTTGTCTGCTGAGACCCTCCTAGTAATGGGACTGGACTAGGCGAAAGCTCTGGTAAAACAACGGGTGTTTGACACTGAGCACCAGAACGATATTAATATTGCTCCAAATTTTTTTGCCACCGGAGAATACTAGATATGTTGTAGCACCAGCTGTTTATTTATCATCATTGGAGATACCATCTCATCACAGGGCTTTCTCCCTAGCTCGTTGGAGAGCACCTCCCCTCTGCAGTGGTCGAGGGGAGATATAGAAAGACCCCCATGCATGAGAGGGTTTACCCCTGCAGAGCTGGTATGGTTGAATCTGTAGAACACGTCTTGTATCAGTGTGGTTTCTACCAAGAAATTCGTGAGAAATTCATCCTTCCTTTCCTTAGAAAGCCACAGGACTGCCCTGCTTCTGAGATGACTAGGAAGCTCCTTGCCGGTGCAAATCCACAAATCACAGCTTCTTGTGCAAGGTTATTTTAAGCGGTGGTTCTTAAATTTAATATAATATTATAATATAATATTTGTTTAAATCTGAGATATCATTTATCAAATTTAAATTATATTTTTATTATCTGTTTGCTTATTCTTTTATGCTTATCCGTGTATATGATTTATGCTGGTCTTTGACCATATTAATAGATCTGAATCTGAATCTGATTGCGATCAGTGGAGTTCCTCATCTGAAGTAGAGCCAGTTATGTGAGGGGAGCCGTGGCACTCCCTCCCCCCTCCCCTCCCCTCACCCCGTCTGCCTGACAGCGGCCTCTCTTGGAAGAGCCTGCTAAGAAAGGCCTTCTTCGGGCAGGCCCTCAGACTGCTTCTCCTTGACTTCTCAGTCGCTGAGAACGGAATGTGGAAATTAAAGAGGAGCGGAAGACTGTTGTTGCCAGTTTTTGTTTCTGGAGGCCCTATTTAATAATGAATTTGTATAACTGTCGTTCCGTGTTCCATTGTAAGTCACCCCAAGGGCTAGAGTGCAGCCATGCAGCAAGAGGGAAGCAGCAAAACAAACAGAAGAGTGGCCTGATTCCAAAGGTGCCGTGCAGGAAGAAGAGAACGGAGCGGACACGCGGCTCATTTGCAACCACTGCATTGGCCACGGGCAGAACCTCCACTTCCAGGGACTCTGGAGAAGGGGGCTTTGCCTTGAGTCTTCTGATGTGAACGCGTCCAGCCCCCCCCCGCCACGTGACACCCCACCCCCGCCCCAACACATACCTGCAGCTCTTTGATCTCCCGTGCCCCTCGCAGCCTCTCAGCACGCTCCGCTTCCAGCACCTGGCAGGCCACGTCCCCTTTCAAGCGTTCGTCAGAGAGCTCTGTGGTGAGATCCACAATCTGTAGAAAGAGACCAAGAGGCAGGGGGCATTTGCGGCCAGTTCCTCCCAAGCGCTCCAGAGAGTCGGGGCTGACCACTGTAATGATTTAAAGTTTTAAGTGTGAGCTTCTGTAAATTAGCTGTTGTAGATTTTTTGGGTTGTGTAGCCGTGGTCTTGGCATTGTGGGACCTGGCGTTTCGCCAGCAGCTGTGACTGGCATCCTTGACACAGAGAGTACTCCATCTTTCTGTGTTATACCTCTGAGGATGCCAGTCACAGCCACTGGTGAAACGTCAGGTCCTACAATGCCAAGGCCCACGGCCAGACAACTCAGGAAATCTGCAACAGCTAATGCACTCCGGCCGTGAAAGCCTTCGACAATATATTGTTTCTGTAAATGTTTGGTAAGTTGCAGAAGAACAAGGGGGGGTGAAAGAGGGGGACGAGTGAGTGAGGTGATTGGTTGGTGACTGAGAGTGGCTAAGGGCTAAGGAGGGTGCGTGTGGAGAGAGAGAGAGAAGGCAGCAGTCAGTCAACAGTTAACCCTCAGTTGTGGTCAGTAAACCGTCTACAGAGCCTGAGAACCAGTCTTCTGATTAGAATCCCATGTCAGTGCTTGTGAAAAGCATTTAAGGTTCTAAAAGAGAAAACAGAATACTTTAGAGGGCATATTAGCGACTAGAGAGAGCCAGTTTGGTGCAGTGGTTAAGTGCGCGGACTCTAATCTGGGAGAACCGGGTTTGATCCCCCACTCCCCCACTCGCAGCTGCTGGATGACCTTGGGCAAGCCGTAGTTCTGATAAGAGCTGTCCTTGAAAAAGAGCAGTTTCTGTCAGAGCTCTCTCAGCCCCACCCACCTCACAGGCTGTCTGTTGTGAGGAGGGGGAGGGAGAGGAGTTTGCAAGCCACCCTGAGACACCTTTGGGTAGTGAAGGGCCAATGGGTATAAATCCAATCTCTTCTTCTTCAAAACCTATTATTGTCAAAGTATTGTAAGTGTGTGAGAGTGAAGCCGACAGAACCCGAGTTCAGAAGTGGAAGATCAAACTGAGCTAAATAAAATACAGACTGGACAAAGTACATTCTGAAGAGAAAGGAGGATTTGAGAGTGAGGAGTGTTTGTGAAGTGAAAGGGTGTGATTCCTCAGTCAGAAGTTATTATTACCATACACTGTTCTATTCACTGAAGTTACAAAACATCTTGAAGCCAATATGTTTCTTGCGCAAATAAAGTTTTATTTTGTGTATTAGCCCAGTGTCGTATGCTATTTCAATACTAGAGGCTCATCCTCAGGACCACATCGTCCAACGAAGAAGTCTTAGGGCCTGGGCACAATACTAAGGGGAAAGTTGAATAATAAGATTTGGAATTCAATTCCTGGTGGCAGCTTTAGATACCCAGAGAGAGAAATAACAAGAAAGTTAAAGACGCACCGTATCTAACCACACGGTTAAAAGAGTATAGTCATGACAACCACCCTGTCCTCGAAAGAGCCACCCCAATGAGTGACGGAGGATGTGCCGAGTTACCAAAAAACCTCTCCCTCTGACTCCCCCCCCCCTGAGTCCAGCTCCTCTCGCTGGCTCTCTTGGGGACGCAAGCGGGGAGCATCACAGAGGCTGAATCCTCACAGCCATGCCAACAGGGAGTCCAGGGGGCTGGACCCTCGTACGGCACCCTCAAGGCCGTCCTAAGGCCTCCTTGGCTCTCATGCTTTGGTTGGAGCTGGGTGATGGAGGGAGTCTTTGCCTGGTTAGGTTGCTGAGGGGCCCCTGGGCACCCCTGCACCAAGCTGGCAAGGAAAGAGGCTTTGCTCAGCAGCCTGAAAGGTCGCTTCCAGCCCCTGCTGGCATCACCAGATCACACACAGCGCATCACGTCCCTCTGCCCTCCCAACAGGTGCCCCTGGGGATTCTGGGGAGAGGAGAGCGGGCCCCTCCTGGGGCAGGATGACCGAGGCCAGCCCCACACTGCCTCCTTCTATGGACTGGCCCTGCCTGACCTTCTGGCCTCTGGCCCGGGCACAAGGGTGCACAGCGCAGAAGGAGAGGTTGGCGAGCAACAGGATTTCCTTTGCTCATAAGAACATAAGAGAACATAAGAGAAGCCAATGTTGGATCAGGCCAGTGGCCCATCCAATCCAACACTCTGTGTAACACAGGGGCCAAAAACACCAGGTGCCCTCAGGAGGTCCAGCAGCGGGGCCAGGACACCAGAAGCCCCCCCACGGTTGCCCCCCCCCAAGCAGCACCAAGAATACAGAGCATCCCTTGCCCCAACCTGAGAGTTCCTATAATAACATAAGAGAAGCCAATGTTGGATCAGGCCAATGGCCCATCCAGTCCAACACTCTGTCACACAGTGGCCAGAAATACCATCAGGTGCCATCAGGAGGTCCACCAGTGGGGCCAGGAAACTAGAAGTCCTCCCACTGTTGCCCCCACCCAAGCACCAAGAAGACAGAGCATCCCTTGCCCCAGCCTGAGAGTTCCTATCTATACCTTGTGGCTAATAGCCACTGATGGACCTCTGCTCCACATCCTTATCCAGTTCCCTCTTGAAGCCATCCATGCTTGTAGCCGCCACCACTTCCTGTGGCAGTGCATTCCATGTGTTCATCACTCTTTGGGTGAAGAAGTACTTCCTTTTATCTGTTCTAACCCGACTGCTCAGCAATTTCATGGAGTGCCCACAAGGAGTTCTTGTATTGTGAGACAGGGAGAAAAGTCCCTCTTTCTCTACCTGCTCTATCCCACGCATAGTCTTGTAAATCTTGATCATGTCACTCATCCACGCACCACTGCTTGGATCAGCTCACACCAAGGCTACCTGTGGCAGAGGCCTTTGGCCACAACAAGGAGGCAAGAATGGACCGAGCCGGGCCTGCTGGGCCTCAGGTGCCTTAAACACCTCCAGGTGCTTCGAAAACCAGGTGCTGCTGGATCAAGTGATCCTGCCTCCTTTGCTGGAGAAAGGGAGGCACACCATTTGAATAAAAAGGACAGCATACATGCAGAGCACTTTTCTTTCCTCTCCCCAGGCAAGGTCACTTCTGTACTTTCACTGCTTGCCGAGCTTAAGGGCATGCTTCCTAATGCCCCACTGGTCTCTTGGACTACCAAAGGCATCCCCTCGAATGTATTTTTCAGCCCTTCCTGCTGCAAGTGATCAGCGACTGGTGTGCGTGTGAAAGCAGCCTTCCTCTGGAGGGCAGACGGCCACCGCTTGAAGTCCTCGGTGCAATGGCGGCCAAAGCCCTCCGTGTCAGAGTCCCTTGTGGGTAGAGGGTGGGGCTTCAGGAGAAATGTGCCCCAGGAATGATCACCAAATACATTCTGCAGAATTGTGCAGATCTGAAGAACTGAGGCAGGTGACAGAATCCAGACTCTTTTGTCCCAGTTGTGGTACCTGGGCATGGTGATGGGAAGTGCCATCTGGTCACCACGGCGACCCCTCACGGGGGGGGGGGGGTTCCAAGACAAAAGACCTTCAGAGGTGGTTTTTGCCCCAGCCTGCCTCAGCATAACGACATAGAACTTCCTTGGCAGTCTCCCTTCCCCTGACCCTGCTTAACTTCCGAGATCTGACACAATCGGGCTAGCCTGGCCTATCCAGAATTCATTCATGCGCGAGTCGAGCATGTTTCCTAAGCTCCCGGTTTACGCAGTCTCACGTAAAGCCTTATGTCTGGAGCATCTGGCAGCACCTATGGCTAACGTCTGACCCACGGATTCAAGCAGGAAGACAGCTCCTTGGCTTCCGGACAAGGAGCGCGCGAGGAGCTGGCCCCGGGGCGTCTTCCACCTCCCTGCTCCTGGCTGCAGATATCCCTGCTCATGCAGAGCCTTCCCCCTAGTTTCCTGGAAACCTGAAATAATTTGACAGTCTCTGGGGTGTGCAGAGCATAATGACACTGTTAATTAATTAATTGCTGAAAAGAAGCTTTGGCACTGCTTGCCAAGGAACCGGGACAGTTTTCCACACGTGCGTCGTGTCTCTCTTGTGCCAGAGTTTGCACTTGAGGTGGGGAAGACGGGAGCCCCTCCATGGCTGCTCAGGGGAGGGGGAGGAACAAGAAGAGGCCACTACCAGCGGTGCGCCTTCTGCCTCTGGGCCAGAGCACAAAAGAGCCCGCGTTTGCCTTCTGAGTGGGAGGAGCACAGCCGTGGCATGTGTGCAAATGCTCAGCAACACGGAGGAGCAGAGGAGGAGGACACGCTCTTAGATCCATTTCGCTCCCATTGGGTGGGGGGGGCACACAAAGAGGGCAAAAACATTCCCCCCCTTTCAATGGGCTGCAAAGAAGCTGCTGGCAGTGCTGCAAGACAGAACCTGCTCCCCTTCGTGGGGGAAGGAGAGGGATTTGGCTGCATATCTCGACCGCGATGACCTGGATACGGTGATCCACACGACAGTCACCTCAAGGCTAAACTACTGTAACACTCTCTACATGGGGCTGCCCTTGTCACAAATCCGGAGGCTGCAGCTGGTGCAGAATGCCGCGGCCAGGCTGTTGATGGGTCTCCCTAGATGGGAGCACATCCGACCTGTGCTTAAGGCACTGCACTGGCTGCCAATAGTGTACTGAATTCACTTCAAGGTGCTGGTGCTTACCTTTAAAGCCCTATAGGGCCAGGGTCTGACATACCTGAGGGACCGCCTCTCCCCATATATACCCCAGCGAGCACTACGGTCGGGGTCACAACATCGACTAGTTATCCTAGGCCCCAGGGGCGCCAGGCTTGCTGCGACCAGGGCTAGGGCGTTTTCAGTGGCGGCTCCTTAATGGTGGAATGAACTCCCGGAGGAGATCAGGGCCCTGTGGGATCTTGTACAGTTCCACAGGGTCTGCAAGATGGAGCTCTTCCACCAGGCTTGCCGATGGATTAAGTCACAGATGCGTCCAGCTCTGAGCATCGCTGTCAGGCATGGCTCTCGTCAAGCAGGGGGCAGGCGGGGAGGCAACAGGGCAGCCTGGGCCTGACCCACATCGCAGCAAGGTAAGGAGCCGCACTGCTCAGGCCAGGGGGCCTTTATAGGGGCCAGGGGCATTGTCTGAGCTTATCCTTTCTGGTCAAGCGAAAGGCCTCTTTGCTGGCTCCCCAGGAGACCCTTCTCCCATGCCTTCTTCCTGTCTGCGTTGGGGAGGGGGGCAGCCCATGGGCAGAATTGCTGCTGCTGCTGCTGCTGCTGCTGCTGCTGCTGGACATCCCTCAGGACGTGGGGGGCTGGGGTCCCGAGAGTAATTAAGGGGGCGCCCCTTCCCCAAAGACTGCCCTTCGCAAAGAGAGGCCAACATGTCCCAAGGCAGGAGGCCATCAAAGAGTCACGATTGCACAGGGAGAAGTAATAGAATCATCGTAGAATGTTAGAAGTTGGAAGGGACCTTGCAGGTCATCTAGTCCAACCCCCTGGCACTCTGCAGGAGCACAGCCGAAAGAGAGCCCTGCAACATACCCGGAAGATGGTCATCCAGCCTCCGCTTGGAAACGTCCAGCGAAGGAGCCTCCACCACCTCCCGAGGCAGACTGTCCCACTGCTCAACCACCCTTCCGGTTAGGAAGTCTCTCCTGATATTTAGCCGGTATCGGCTCTCTTGCCATTTCCAACCATTAGATCTAATCTTGCAATCCAGAGCAAGAGAGAACAGATCCGCTCCGTCTTCTACATGACGGCCGTGTCATGTTTCTCGGCACAGTTCAGCCAGCCCTGGGGGGCCAGGCCAACCCCTTCTCCCGAGGCAGGGTACGGCCCCACAGCTCAAGGGCTCCCAAGCAGCCCCCCTCTCCAGCTGGCGGGCCTGAGCCCTGGCTGAGAGAGAGAGAGCTCTGAGCAACACAGCCCCGACCAAGGCTCCCTCTCAGCTGTGGAGTAAAAATCCTACTTTGTGAGCTCCTGACATTAAAGCTGTGAGCAAGCGATTGGGCTCCTGCACAAATTAGTTTGCTCTGGAGCCGCCCTTCCTAAGCTAAGACAGAAATGTGTGAGCCGGAGACTAAAAGACTGTGAGCTAGGCTCACACCAACTCAGCTTAGAGGGAACCCTGGTGGCCCAGACTGCTGCAAAGCCTGGATTACTTCGCTGTACCAGAAAGGAGGATGTGGCCCAGAAAGCAGAAGGGAAGGCCGCCCCCCTTTCCCGGCGGCTACAGTCGCATCAGCCCGAAAACAGGGCATTGAACTCCCATGGAGAGGTCTCAAGATGGAAACAAAAGAAGGCAACACACCAGCTCCAAAATTGCTTTCTTCCTCAGTTGGGCAGCATTCCGAAGCCTGCTGGGGAGCAGAGCGGGCTGTTCGGGCAGCTCAGCAGCAGGGCGGGTGGCGGGTCAGCTGGTCCAGTGGCCTGTGGCCGTCTCCCTCCCTCCCCGCGGACCATCCCTGGCCTAGATGCTGCCTCCGTGCTTACACAGCACTTTTGGCTAATGAAGATGAACTCCCACCAGTTCTGCTTCTCCTCTCCACGAAGAGGCCTCCGGTAGGACAAGCTGCGGGAGCTCCAAGAAGTGAGCGCAACGGAACTCTTTTCATTGGTCTGATCACATCGCACAGCTAACAAGCAGTGCCAACTGGGCCTTCGAAAGACGCCAACTCCCACTGTCGTGCCTCCAGGTGGAGACTGGAGATCTCCTGGGATTCCAGCTGGTCTCCCGACTACAGAGATCAGTTCCCCCGGAGAAAACGGCTGCTTTGGAGGGTGGACTACTCTGTGGCTTCTCATCCAACCTAGGATTCCTCCTCCTCCCCCCAAATCAACCTCCACCAGGCCCTGCCCCCAAATCTCCAGGAGTTTTCCAGCCCTAAGTGTCATGAACATCTACATGTGCCCCCTTGCCCAGATTGCCCGGAGGCATAGGCTAGGGTGTCACCAATACACAGATGACACCCAGCTTATGCAGTTCCGCAGGTCCCGAGCGACGGAGCTACCGGGTCTCGAACTGCTGAACTACCGACCTTCCACAGCCTGCAGTTCAGCCTCTTAGCCACTTGAGCCACCGCAGCTCCATGTGGGGAGGGCAGAATATAAATTGAAAATATGAATAAATAAAATAAAAAATGAAGTGGCTTCCCTTCGACCTTCATTCCCTCTTCTCATGAGTGCCTTGGTCATGAGAGGGGATCCCACTGGCACACCCGTTTCCCCGTGGCTGCCCTGAGGTGCGCCACGATCACCATGCAAAGAGAGCAGTCCATTGCTCCACACGAAATGAGGCCCCATCCTTCAGAGGGGCCTCCTCTTGTCAATCATGTGAGGACAAACAAGCCTCTCCGGACCACAGAAGAGGGGAAAGGACACTCCCAACTCTTACCTTTGTCTCTAGCCCTTCAGTGCTCTGCCGAAACTCCTGCCGTGAAAGGTCCAAGGCCTGCAGCTTCTTCCTGAGCACCGCAAGCTCTTCCTAGAAAAGGAGACGAGAAAGCAAGAAGGCCCGCTCTGGCATCCCAAAGCCCTGAAATTCCCCACTCAGTGCAGGTTTCCTGGGTTCAAGACCAATGCTCCCTCTAAGCTGTGGAGCAAAAATTCTACTTTGCGAGCTCCTGGCATCAAAGTTGTGAGTGAGCGATTTGGCTGCTGCATAAATCAGTTTGCTCTGGAGCCATCCTTCCTGGGCTAAGACAAAAATGCGTGAGCTAGAGGCTAAAAAACTGTGAGCTAGCTCACACTCACTCAGCTTAGAGGGAACACTGTTCAAGACCAAGTCATCACTGGCTAAACTCCCCACCCCGTCCCTCTTGCCACAGTTTTCAATTGTAAACACGTTAAAGGATGGGAGCGCTCCTCGTTTGTGGATGGAATGGAAGGCCCCCCCCCCCCCCGCGACAGTGACACACACACACACTGTGAACAAATCAGGGTGTGTCTGCTGGTTTGCTTGAAATGGTTTGATCGCCCCTTTCAACCTAGATAGGAGTACAGGGCAGCAGACACAAATACGCACAAAGCACATGATAGAGCCCCTTAGACTCCAGAATACCCAAAAGGCCCAAAAGAGAGCCTCCAGCTAGCTTTAAAGAAGCTCCCAGATAGAAGCCTTCTGCATAAAGACTCGTACACTTCCCCGGACAGCCCCCTTCTAACTGTCTCCTTCCTCTGCTTATTTTGGGCCTCCCCTCGTTTATGTTGTCTGGCTTCTTGCACTCTGTACAGTGCCACACAGGTGCTACATCTCTTGGAGATAACAGAACAGAGAACTGTCTGTTTTCTTCCAAGCCTACAATCCGACAAATGGATCTGGCGCCGAACAGAAGGCGCGCGGCAATATGAAGGGATGGCGCCTCTCCCTCTCTTCTTCCTTCCTGGCTGCACACTTGTGCCTCCTGTCCCTCCAGGAAGACGGTGTCCCGGCTGCCATTACCTACCTCCTTGGCACGGAGCTGGCCTTCCTGAAGGTTGGCACTCAGCAGTGGCCGAACGCGGCACATCAGCACCCACCAGGGCCAGGTCTTCACTGCTTGGAACACGGCCACGTTCTTCTGGATGCAGCGAATGGCCAGCCGCTGGATCTGGAAGGGAGGCAAGAGGGCTATGGCGGCTCCCCCAAGGACACGACCTCCGCTCAGCAGACCCATTTAGGAGGCGGGGGGAGTGGTCCAAGCAGGGGTCAGTCCTGGGCACTTGGCCTCACACCGGACAAAACGCTGGACTACATACTCGCCAGCTCCCTGGCAGAGACGAGTTAGTTCTGGTGAGGAAAACTTGCTGCTCACTCACCGGCCACAGCCTGCACTAGTCAGGAGGTCCCCGCAGGATGAGGCCCGGGACAGCAAGCAGCTGCCTTCCACTGTTATTGGGGGCGGGGAACGCTCCAGCCACCCACTGCTGCAGCTTTATGTAGTTGGGGGGGGGCCTTGGTGAGAGGAACAAGAGCCAGCACTTTCCCTCGCAGTGCTGAAGGCTCGTTTTAAAAAACCCGGAGTCTGAAAACTCTGGAAGTCTGCAAAGCCCCCTGGATGCAGGGTCAATGCCCTGATGATGAATCATGTCTGAAACCCTGATCTCTGTCGCTTCTACAGCAAATTAGAGAAGAGGCACAATTCTACAGAACCCCCCCCCTCCCTCCCGGCCTCTAAACGCAGCCTCAGCACCACTGCTGTGTGTGTGTGTTCCCTGGATCCAAATTGCACACCCAGGACGCTGGACATCCTGCTCTTCTCCTGGACCGTGCCTCTTCTGGATATGGTGCTTCTGCTACCAATCAACCTCTTAGTACTGATTTAAATGCATCCCAGACTATTGTTGGATCTACTTCCCTGTTCTCATTAAACTCAAACAAATCTTTAATATGTTTTTTGAGTTCTTGTTGTACTTTATCATTTATTACTACAGTTTGGTGTCCTGGTTAAGTGTGTGGACTCTAATCTGGGAGAACCGGGTTTGATTCCCCACTCCTCTGCTTGCAGCTACTGGGTGACCTTGGGCAAGCCGTAGTTCTGATAAGAGCTGTCCTTGAAAAAGAGCCGTTCCTGTCAGAGCTCTCTCAGCCCCGCCTACCCCACAGGGTGTCTGTTGTGGGGAGGGGAAGGGAAAGGAGATTGTCAGCCACTCTGAGACTCCCTTGGGTAGTGAAGGGCCATGGGGTAGAAATCCAATCTCTTCTCTTCTTCTTTTCACTCGCAGTCACCGTTACAACAGCGCTGTCAAGCAGGCCTCTACCATTAACCCCGTACTGCATACTGGGGGGCAGAAGGGGCAGCAGCCAGGTGAGCTGTGAACGGGGCCCTTCCTGATCTGTGGCCTTTCAGCCCTCGTGCTGTGCTAGCAAATGGAGGGGGACCTGAAAAGTTGCCAGCTACCTTCAGTCTCTTGAACTGCTGCCGGGAGAGGAAGCCCTTGCAGGCGGCTTGGAGGAGCGTCAGGTTGGGAGACACCAGCTTCTCCCTCTGCTTCTCAAGCCTGGAGAGCAGCCCGGCCTTCAGGAACACCTGCGGAGACAAACACCCAGAGGAGAGGAGGGTCACTCCTCTTCTGGCCAGGCGGGGCAACCTCTGTGTGGGGCCCGAGATCTCCCGGAATGACAACTGGTCTCCGGGAGACGGAGACCCGCGTCCCAGAGGAAACGGCAGCTGTGGAAGGTCGATTCTGCGGCGTGACACCCCCTCCCCAGGCTCCACCCCCCAAATACCCAGGAATTTCCCCATCCAGAGTTGACGGGGGGCCCTTCTGGGTGATGAGGGCCAAAGGGAAGCCTGCCCCCTTGGAGATAAACGTGCCAGCTCATGAAAGCCAGCCCTCTCTCGCACGGCCAGCTACCTGTGTGTGGCCCACGGCGACACTTTTCTTCTCCAAATTGAGCGCCTGGAAGAGCTCCTCCAGAGCCTGCAGAAGGGAAAGGCAGAAGAGAATCAACATCTTCGCAGAGCTCAGAAAGCAAGCCCCCCCCTCACCACCCATGCCCCCACCCCTACAAGGACCACAGGGACCACCTTTCGGGCTCCTCCGCCACAGCTGTGGACCCTCCCCTGTTTTCTACACACCTTTCAGCTCCCAAAAGCCCTTCTGCTGTCAAGTTAAGAACATAAGAGACGCCAATGTTGGATCAGGCCAAAGGCCCATCCAGTCCAACACTCTGTGTCACACGGTGGCCAAAAATACCAGGTGCCATCAGGAGGTCCAGCAGTGGGGCCAGGACACTAGGAGCCCTCCCACTCTTGCCCCCCACCCCAAGCACCAAGAATACAGAGCATCCCTTGCCCCAGAGTCCCTATCTATACCTTGTGGCTAATAGCCACTGATGGACCTCTGCTCCATATTAAGAACATAAGAGACGCCAATGTTGGATCAGGCCAATGGCCCAGCTAGTCCAACACTCTGTGTCACACAGTGGCCAGAAATACCAGGTGCCATCAGGAGGTCCAGCAGTGGGGCCAGGACACTAGAAGCCATCCCACTGTTGCCCCCCCCCCCCAACACCCAAAAAGACAGAGCATCCCTTGCCCCAACCTGAGAGTTCCTATCTATACCTTGTGGCTAATAGCCACTGATGGACCTCTGCTCCATATGTTTAGCTAATTCCCTCTTATAAGAACATAAGAGCAGCCAATGTTGGATCAGGCCAATGGCCCATCCATTCCAACACTCTGTCACACAGTGGCCAAAAACACCAGGGGCCATCAGAAGGTCCAGCAGTGGGGCCAGGACACTAGAAGCCCTCCCACTGTTGCCCCCCCCAAGCACCAAGAAGACAGAGCATCCCTTGCCCCAACCTGAGAGTTCCTATCTATACCTTGTGGCTAATAGCCACTGATGGACCTCTGCTCCATATGCTTATCTAATTTCCTTTTGAAGCCGTCCGTGCTTGTAGCCGCCACAGCTTGTAGTTAGGGGAGGTGGGTTTGGGGCCAGAGGCAATGCTCCCTCTAAGCTGCGGAGTCTTGTGAGCCTGTTCCCAGGAAAACGGCCCACATTGAACTCTGCCTCAACCCCACCCAAAATGGGTCCCTCGCCCAAAAGAGAAGGTACAAGACCCCCACCCACTGAGACGCTCCCCCAGATGGAGCGGAGCCACTCCCCGGCCAAGCAGCGGCACCACCAAAAGAGGAATTCTCTCCTGCCAGGGTCTACATTAAAAGTTGCATTTTATGTTCACTTTTATTTCAGAAGTAAAGCTGTCAGGAAAAGAATAATTGCTGGCTCTTTGAAAGATGGCTCGGGGCCTACATGCCGTTGGATTTCACCTCTTCAGCAGACGTGGAATTTAACCAAGTGCCGGCAGAGCACTTAGCCCCGCCAGCACCCTGCCATTGGCTGCTGCTAGGCTGGATCATCCTACTGGGAGAGGAGCCGGTGGGCAGCGGTCCCGGAGCAGCCCAGGCCAATGGCAGCCTGGTTTCCCCCTGGGCCCTCTTCTCCCCAGTCCACTCTTCAGAAAAGAGGTGGTCTTGACAAATCCCTACAAGTCCCGGCAAGGGGACAGGCTGAGGGCCTTGGGAATGTTTAGTCTGGAGAAGTGGAGACTGAGGGGGGACATGATGGCTCTCTTTAAATATCTGAAAGGCTGTGATTTGGAGGAGGAGGGCGAGGAACTGTTCCAGTTGGCAGCAGAGGACAGGACCTGAAGCAACGGGTTTAAATTACATGCAGAGAGGCATCGGCTGGATATTAGGAAGAACTTTTTCACGGTCAGAGTGGTTCAAAAGTGGAATCAGCTGCCTAGGGAGGTGGTGAGCTACCCTTCACTGGCAGCTTTCAAGAAGAGGCTGGACAAATATTTGTCAGAGATGCTTTAGGCTGGTCCTGCACTGGGCAGAGGGTTGGACTAGATGGCCTCTATGGCCCCTTCCAACTCTATGATTCTATGATTCTTAGAGGAAGAATCCCTCTCATTCTGAGCAGCAGAAAAATCCGTCCCACTTGCCAGGAAATGACGGAGCAGCCGGAGGAGATCAGGGCCCTGCGGGACCTTTTACAGTTCCGCAGGGCCTGCAAGACGGAGCTCTTCCGCCAGGCTTTTAATTAGGAGCCGCCACTACCACCACTACCACCAATATTATCATTATTAACAATGGGGGAGTGGGTTGGCCCTGTATGAAGATCGAGCCACAGCATCGTGATGGATCGGTCACCGCTGAACTGGGGCTTTGTGTTACATCTACAGTACGCCATCTAAATTCGTCTGAAGGATTAACATCACTGAGCACTTTAATAGTAATATATGGTTGTTTTTATCTTGTTTTATATGTTTTTATATGTTTTATATACCTGGCACATGGTGCCCTTAGTTGTGAGCTCCCCTGAGCCCATTCGCGGGGTGGGCGGGATAGAAATATAATAAAATAAATAAATCTCTTTTTTGCCCACGTGGCCAAATGCGGGTTGCTCCCACCTTCCTGCAATGGGACTGAGCTAAGAGCTGCTATTTCCCCATCAAATCACTGAGGGGTCCAGCCCCCAGGCTTTTCTTTTCCCTCCGTTCTTTCTCTCTCCTCTGTTATTCTAAAGGGAAAAGCTCCCATGATGGCCACGCCCAGTTCTTGCCAGCCTCACCCCAACTGTGCACAGCAGCCAGCTTTCCTTTTGGCACTCAAGCCGCGCCAAGCAACATCCAGAGCTCAGAACTGCTATTTGCTCAGAACTGGAAGGGTCCTTATCAATCCCCCTTTCATCAAGGAACCCTTTTCCGTACGGACTGGCCCACTGAGGAACGTATGCATGCACCTGCTGCAGAACAGCTGTGCATTGCCAAACACTCGAGGATGAGCGCTCAGTTCCTTGGGCTAGTAGCTGGCCCTGCAGGGTCTCAGGAGTATAGATGTCAGGGCTTTTTTTGTGGGAAAAGCCCAGCAGGAACTCATTAGCATAATAGGCCACACCCAGCAGCAGAAACTTATTAGCATAATAGGCCACACCCCTGACAGCACAGCTCATTGGCATATTAGGCCACACACACCCCCATGTTACCAGAAGTGTGGTCATCCAGCCACACCCACCTTTTGTTTCTTATTCCGTTATACTTTGTTTATTCTCAAAACCCAGGGCTTTTTTTGTAGCAGGAACTTCTTTGCATGTTAGGCCACACACCCCTAATGTAGCCAATCCTAATGAGTTCCTGCTGTTGGGTGTGGCCTATTATGCTAATGAGTTCCTGCTGGGCGTGGCCAACTTGGGAGCCAGCCGGAACTCCATCCCTGTGCGTTCCTGCCCCAAAATAGCTCTGGATAATGTGAAACTCAAGAGTGTCCTTTCATGAGCTTGGGAGCAAACGAGAGCCCCGCCCCCAACCCATACACTGCAAGGCTTTGGTGGATGCACTGACCCTTCATCAGGGAAGCTTGACCACCACTTCATAGGCTACACTTATCTCTGCTCCACTTCTGGGAAACCTCCGGGGTCCAAGAGGGACTCACAGAGAGCCGCCAACCTCAAGGGCATCACAGCTCAAAAAGGAGCCTGGGAAAGCAGCTTCACGCATGTTAGGAGAGCCACGGAAGCCTGTGCGTGGTTCGTACCAGGCCAAGAAACAAAGCCCTGAGAGGCCCAGACACAGCAGTGGGGATGGAAGAACACCCGGAAGAAGGAGCCCTTTGTGTATTAAGTCTTGTCAGACTTGCACTCAGAGGACTCGAGTCCATGCAGGATCCAGCTGCTTTCTGCAATGCCAGCCACAGAACCGCCGCAGGTGTTTCTGCATTCCCATTCCCCTAGCTTGCATGTTCCTGTTGATTCGGGGAGGGGGAGGCCTGTTTCGCACATGGTTTGCTCCCTCTAGTGGTCAGCTCAGTACTACGTCGCTTCACGTTTGGCATATCTCCCTGCAGATTTTAACTGCAGGTTTTTATGCTAGATATAAAGCGATATATTAAACCAACTACTACAGGAAGCAAAACACATGTGGAACGCGGGGGGGGGGAATCCCGTGAAGCAACAGGAACATACAAGTGAGGAAAATGAGAATACAGGAAAGCCCCAGATTTACAGCAGAAGGGTGAGTAGTCCAATGGAAAATCAACATTAGCAAATGTTTTGTAAGGGATGACCTTTAAACAGAGATTTTCAACCACACCAAAGGGACTGAACTTCCTGGACCCTGGTGACAGAAGGCAGCGGTCCCTTCACTGAAGGCTGTTCTCAAGGCCATTTTATGATCCCCCTCTTTGGAGGTCCCTGCCGGTCCAGCTGAGGAAGGCACATCTGCAGCCAGAATATGCAGGACTCCCCAAATCCAAAACTGCAGAAAAGCTGCTGCGGAACCTTCACCCACCGGAGGCTCACCATGCCAAACCAGAGCTCTTGTCTAAGTGGCTGTCCTTTGGAAAGCCTCGCCCACCCCACCCCCTAAGGCAGCCTCCTCACCCACCTTATCCTCATCTGTCGTCTCATAGGCAGAGGTGTATTTTTTCATCACTGGCTGCGCGAGGATCTGGAAGCGGCGCCGGAACTGAGTCAGCGCCATCCGATCTGCGTACCCTGCAAGATGCAAGAAAGGTCACTCGTCAGACTTGGCCATGGGCTGGCCCCTTCCTATGGCTCCGTTAATGGTGGAGGCTCAGAGAGCGCCAAGGGACCACCCATCTCAGGGCCATCCAGTCCACCCTTCTGCAGCCCGCCCAAAGAAGCAGATTATCACACACACACACACACACACAGCCCCAATGTCAGCAAGACTGCTGCAGGCTCCAAGCAGAGGCCAAGATGCCACAAACACAGCAAGTCTCTCTAAGTGAGTAGCCGAAGGCAGTCATCTTCACGGTCTCCAAAGAATTCACCTCACAGAGCAGGGAGAGCTCTGCCCCAACCAAAAAAGACCCCCCTTCTACAGTGGGGACACAAAGCAGCTTACCTCTTGACCATTTTATGCTCACAACAATCCTGGGAGGTAGGAGAGTCTGTGACTGGCTGAAGGTTACAAGCTTTCATGGGAGAGTGGAGATTTGAACCCGGTCTTTCCAGGACCTAGTCGAACACTCTCTCCTCTATATCATGCTACATGAACTCTAACCACTATGTCACATTGTTACATTGCCTGGAAGCCATATCAAGGTATGAAGATCTCAGAAGCTAAGCAGGGTCGGTACTTGGATGGGAGACCACAAGGAAGAGTTTGTAGAGGAAGGCAATGGGAAACCGCCTTTGCTGAATTACTTGCCTTGAAAACTCTGAAGAAATGCATTTTTTTTCCTGGTAGGTTTGAAATGAGCAAAACTTCTACAATGCATTTTTAAAGTTTTTTTCCCCCTCTGGCCAGAGAACAGGTTGGACAGGAGGGAAGTCAGTCCAACTGTTTTCCAGCTTACCTTCATACAAATGCTAATAGATAATGGGTGGGTCAAGCTCTCCCCCTTCCCCAAGCAGGGAACAGAGATTTGGAGGTGCTAAATGCTAGAGAGTCTTCAGGAAGGAGATTCCTGGAGAGCTCCAGGAAAAGCCTCTTTGATTTGGCCTGACCTTGTAAGGGGTGGGGGAAAGAGAGGTGATAAAAGCTCCTTGCAGCAGAACGGAGGGCTTTTTTCCTGGGGTGCTGATTCCATGAGAGTACACAGTCCTCTCCACTGACAAGGTAGCCATTGACCATGTGCTCACCGAAAGAGCTGAAGCAAGCTTTACAGTAATGGTAACTCTGTAGACATCTGTAACTTCCTGAGCTAAAGGAGCCTGTCCTATATTTTAACATCTAATAGGGCATGTATAGCGAAAGGGACAGAGGATTGTGTTCTTACCTATTTCTTTTGTATCCCTTGCTCAGTCTGCTGCTGTGCTAAAAGGATGCTTGTAAACATTTTATTTTTAATAACTACTTTAGAACTTTTGATGCTGGCAGTGGTTCTCTATACCACATAGACCTCCAACATGTTATTTTAAAAGGAGCACCGGGGGGAAGGCAGGCAGTTGGAAAGTGGCTATTCCTCCACGGGCACACAATGCAGTAAACTGTCCCCATAGTGACTAGGTGCTGGGCAGCTGGAGACACAGGCCAGGCCTCAGAACATGGAAGGGAAGCTGGGAGTCCTGACCCTCCCAGTTGGTAATTCCAGCAAAAGGTCAGGTGGTGGTGGTGGTGGGCTACCTGAGAGTGGAAGAAAAGCCCCTCCAAGTGTTGAGAAAAACCTAGGAGGGCAGGGCGGAGCAGGACCATTTTGCCACAAACTCCCTATGGGGGTAGCCACAAATTGGTTGCAACTTGACGGAAGTTTACACACACATGTGAATTAATGACCTCCAAAACATTCCAGCATTAACGGCCTTGCTTGGGCCTTGATTGAGTCAATCCATCTCGTTTTGGGTCTTCTTCTTTTCCTGCTGTCTACAACTTTCCCCAGCATTATTGTCCTTTCTAGTCACTCTTGTCTTCTCATAATGTGACAAAAGGACGATGAACTCAGTTTAGTCATACGGTACCCATCCCTCAAATTTCCACACCTCTCTAGTCAACATCCCAGCTTCCTAACATAGACTGTACCCCTGCTGGGCAAGAAACACGGAACACCGAACAGCGCCTAGAGCACCATGGGCGGGTCAGGTCAGTGCTATTAGAGGGGGCAAGATCCCCAGCAATGCTATTTCCCCCCACCCCCCTTAATTAAACTCCCCACCTGTGGGCCTGCCTCACCTGCTCTGTAGAGCCTCAAGGCATCCAGGATCTGCCCCCCAGAAAGCTGGACTCGCAGGGCTGGGACGTCCCACCCGGTCGCCCCCGGCATCCCGGAAGGCTGCAGCGTCTTCTCTTTCATCCCATCCACAGCCGTTCTTGGGATGAGGCAATGGACAAAATGGATCTGGGATCGCTTCACGAGGTTAGCCAGAGCATCCTGCAGGAGCAGAGGAAAATGCAAAAGGAAAACTGTGTTTCTTCTGTGGCTTGAATCTTCCTAACACAGAAACTCAACTGGATCATGCTGTTTCTCAGACGCACTTGCCTCTGCCTTTGGGGGAAAAAACTTCCAAGAAATTGCTTTTCAACCCACAACTGGCTATCATGCAGCTAAGCAAGACAGGGTCCAGCCTCTCAGCTCATTTGCTCTGCAAGATCTGGGGTGAATACAGATCAGAAACACCTTGCAGTCCTTGGCGGCTTGATCACTACGAGTCTGCCTGGTGGTGACTCCTGACTGAAAACAGGAACATTCCAAAACAAGATGCCTCCCGTCAGGACCAGCCAAAGCGTCACAAAACCGGGGGTCATTTCCGGTGGGAGCACACAGGAGTGGAGCTCCGGCAGTAAGGAGCCCAGGGGGCGGGCACATGCAACAAGCCCCAACCCCTGCTCCCAGCAGCCCTCAGTTGGGCCACAAGCAGCAAGAAGCAGCCAGGTAAGTTGCAGAGGTCCCCCGCCCAGCCTACCTTTAGGTACAAGCTCTCCCTCCATAGTGAGGACAGATCTGCACGTCCCCCCCCCCATAGCTAGCGATCCAAAACAGTCCAGTGGAGCCTGAGCAGTGGGTGTTGCCTTCTGACACACTCCCGGTGAGGCCAGGGGGTGTGGCATATGCAAATAAGTTATGCTAATGAGTTATGCTAATGAGCTCCTGCACCTCTTTTTCTTCGAAATGACCCCTGGACAGAACTATGTTCCAGCTCTTGAGTTCTCTGCATCACTCGGGATATTTAGAAAGGGGGGAAGGATGTTTTGAACCATGACGGGAAGGCACTGATCCCCATTGTGTTTCCTCTTGATTTCTGGGGATAAAATCTGACCAGCCTTGAACAGAACAAGAATTTTGAGTCACTCCCTACCAAATGACTGACAGGCATGGGGGAGGAACTGTGGCCCAGTGCGTGGCATGCAGAAGGTCCCTGGTTCAATCCGTGGCACCTCCAGTTGAAAGGACCAAGTAGGAGGTGGTGTGAAAAAGCCATTTTGGTGTAGTGGTTAGGTGCGCGGACTCTAATCTGGGAGAACCGGGTTTGATTCCCCACTCCTCCACTTGCACCTGCTGGATGACTTTGGGAAAGCCACAGTTCTTACAAGAGCTGTCCTTGAAAAAGAGCCGTTTCTGTCAGAGCTCTCTCAGCCCCACCTCCCTCACAGGGTGTCTGTTGTGGAGAGGGAAAGGGAGAGGAGTTTGTAAGCCGCTCTGAGACTCCTTTGGGTAATGAAGGGCAGGGTAGAATCATAAAACGTTAGAGTTGGAAGGGACCTTGCAGGTCAACTAGTCCAACCCCCTGCACTCTGCAGGAGCATAGCTGAAAGATAGCCCTACATACCTACAACATACCCGAAAGATGGTCATCCATCCTCCGCTTGAAAACATCCAGCAAAGGAGCATCCACCACCTCCCGAGGCAGACTGTTCCACTGCTCAACCACTCTTACAGTTAGGAAGTTTCTCCTGATATTTAGCCGGTAACGACTCCCTTGTAATTTCCACCCATTAGATCTAGTCTTGCAATCCTGAGCAAGAGAGAATAGATCTGCTCCATCTTCTACATGACAGCCCTTCAAATACTTGAAGAATGCAATTATGTCCCCTCTAAGCCTTCTCTTTCCCAGGCTAAACATACCCAACTCTTTCAGCCTTTTCTCATAAGACTTGGATTCCAACCCTCTCACCATCCTGGTTGCCCTCTTCTGGACACGCTCGAGCTTGTCAACATCCTTCCTAAAATGTGGTGCCCAAAACTGGACACAGGACTCCAGGTGAGGCCTGACCATAGCAGAATAGAGCGGAACTACCACCTCCCGTGATCTGGACACGAGGCTTCTGTTAATGCATCCTAAGATTGCATTAGCAATCCATGTAAAAGATGGAGCAGAACTATTCTCTCTTGCTCCGGATTGCAAGACTAGATCTAATGGGTGGGAATTGCAAGGGAGTTGATACCAGCTAAATATCAGGAGAAAATTCCTAACTGGAAGGGTGGTTGAGCAGTGGGACAGACTGCCTCGGGAGGTGGTGGATGCTCCTTCGCTGGACGTTTTCAAGCGGAGGATGGACGACCTGCAAGGTCCCTTCCAACTCTAACATTCTATGATTCTATGACTTCCCAGACTGCATCTCCTTCTCCTAGGGCCTAACAATACACTATCTCACCCTCCTGTCCTCCCCAGATCCGCCTTAAGGCCTTTTGGTCAGATGTGCATCGAGCATTCTGTGCTTGGAACTCAGTTCCCAGAAGTGGAGGGGGGTTAAGGAGCCATGCTCCCTCCACGCTGTGGAGTCCTGTGAGCAAAAAGTCTACTTTGTGAGCTACTAGCATTAAAGCTGTGAGTGAGCAATTTGGCTACTGCACAAATTCCTTTGCTCTCTGGAGCCATCCTTCCTGAGCTAAGACAAGAATGTGTGAGCCAGAGGCTAAAAAACTGTGAGCCAGCTCACACTAACTCAGCTTAGAGGGAACACAATGCTCCCTCTAAGCTGTGGAGTCTTGTGAGCAAAAATTCTACTTGGTGAGCTACTGGCACTGAAGTTGTGAGTGAGCAATTTGGCTACTGCATAAATCTGTTTGCTCTGGAGCCATCCTTCCTGAGCTAAGGCAAAAATGTGTGAGCCGGAGACTAAAAAACTGTGAGCTAGCTCATACTAACTCAGCTTGGAGGGAACACATGGGGAGAGGGGTGAAAGCCCTCCTGTGCTGCTTTCCAGACTGAAATCCTCCCCGGAGCCAGTATTTGCCCTGTTGGGGAAACTGGTGTGTAGAAGACAGCAAACAGCAGCTCCTCAGCCAAGGAGTAAGTCTTCGCCCCCCCCCCCAGATCTCCCTGTGCTCTTGATTCAAAATGGCCCCCTGCCTGTCTGGGAATGTCCCCAGCCAGGAAGACACAAGCCGCAACCCACTGAAAGGGCTCATGGCAGATATGGGGAGGATGAACACTACTGACTGCTGGACCCTGGGCCGCTGCCCTCGAGATAGGCGGCACAAACCCAACGCCTCGGCCACCCCCCACACCGCAACAGCCCTCCCAAAAGACTTCAAGGGTGTGGCCAGCAGAGCAAAGGGGTGACAGTCTGGGCCCTTTCACTTACCACCTGGAGTTTGATCTGAGCACAGACGGATTTCTTCTTCACTGCTGCAAAGCTGCTCGTGAAGGTCTTTCTCACGCTGCCGACCCGCTGCAGAGTCTGCTGGGAGCTTCCGTCCAAGCCGGCCACGGACCGGCACACCAGGGGCATTCTGGACCGCTGCAGGAACAACTTCTTCAGAGCATCTCTGGCCGGAAGGGAGGGACACGGGGCAGGTCCGTCAACACAGGCCGACCCAAAGAAGAGGAAGAAAGCCCCGAGAAAGCTCTTGGGGAAGAGGGGCACGCTCCCAACTCTCCGAGGCTACCCGGAGTCCTGGCAAAATGCCAGGAGGCGGGCTCAGAACTCTGCCTCCCCCCACAGAAGGAGAGTGCCATGCGGGCAAGCCATTCCTGCAAGTGGGCATGTTCTAGAGGGCGGCATCTTCTTGCCACTCTGACTGCCTAACGGACAGCAACTGAAAAGCTGCCCACAGAGAGAAGCTCAGTGGGTGAGACTCTGGAACAGGGGTGGCCCAGCTGTGACTCTTTCACACATATTGTGCGGCTCCCGGTAGGGTAGCTGGGGAAGTGAAGGGGAGGCCTGCTTTTTCGCCCTCCCTCCCTCCCTCCCTCCCTCCCTCCCTGTCTCCCTGCCTCCCTTCCCCCTCCCTCCCGTCTATTTGCTTTCTTGGTTCTCTGGCTCTCTCTCTTTCTCTCTTTCTTTCCACTTCTTTCATTCTTTCTTTCCACTCTCTCTTTCTCTCTCTCTCTTAGACAAATACATATCATTAGCAAACAAATACCATTCGACAAATAAATATCATTATCAATATCTGCTTTTTTACCCCTTCTGTTTTTATTTTTGGCAGTCTCGTTTAATGTTGATAAAAAGCAGATTTGCATATTTTGCAATAAAAACGTGTGTGTGATACTTGTTTGTCTCATGCAGCTTTTAAACATCTGACATTTATTCTATGTGGATCATATGTTGAAGAAGTTTGGCCACCCCTACTCTAGAGGGTCAATTAATCTTGGTCACATGATTCAGAGAGCAAGAATGAAGATACAAGCCGCCTCCTGCAGAGTCACATGTCAGAGAGGAGAGCACACCTTGGAGGGACATCTATGTAGGTGCCTACATGTTTATGACTTAACTAAAGGACAAAGCCATTTCAATAATGGCAACATCCTAACTCCACTGACCACAAAGATAACGGGTAGTGGTAGTCTCCAGGAATCTTTGAAGGAAGACATTGCTTGATCATCAAAGGAGCCCTGCAGAGACTCAGAGCTGAGAACTGTTATCTCAGGGCACTGAGAACTTTCCCAGCCGACCCTCCTTATCTCAAGAACGTGTCATGTCAGATTGGATCAACGCCAATCAGCTGGAAGGAGCCCAGAGTTGGGCAACACAGCTGGTGATGGGCTTGGAGACCCTGTCCTCTGAGGAGAGGCTGAAGGACCACGAAGCTCTTCATCAGAGGAGAGACTCTCAAGAGGTGGTCTGACCACCTCCTTCCGCTACCTAAACAGCAATCATGCAGAGGATGGGGTGGATACGTGTTTGGTCATCTTGGATGACAGGACTTGGACTAATGGAGATAAACTACAGCAAAGGAAGTGTTGACTACATCTGAGGAAGGACTTCCTAACGGTGAGGTATGTTTGACGCAGGAACCATCTCCATTGTGAGGTGGTCAGTTCTTCATTGTTGGAGGTTTTTAAGTACTGATGGGATAACTACTTGTCAGGGATGTTAGAGTTGTAGTTCCCACACTGGCAGGGAGTTGGACTAGATGACATTTCAGCTCTGAGATGCAATAAAATAAATACATAAAATGCAATAAGAAACAAGCCCATGCCGATTTTGTCCGTGGCTTGGCAGAAGCGGCAGGGCACGGCAACAGCCCGGTGGGGGGGGGGGGGGGAGATGCCAGCTCAGAGGTTTGCTGACAGGAATCACGAGCTGCCTCCACAAGGCACGGCGGGCACGGCACATGCCCTGCCTGGCGGCTGAGATAGCCCCTTGCAGTCAGACTCCCAGCCCCACTGACCTCTGTAGCCAGTTGGCAGCAATGCTGCCGAAGGCTCCCCCACCAGTCCCTGCCCCAAGGTTTCAGGGTGAGGGCAAGCTTGCCTCACCGCTGTGAGAGAAGAAGAAGAAGAGATTGGATTTATGCCCTGCCCTTCACTCCCCAAAGGTGTCTCAGAGCAGCTGACAATCTCCTCTCCCTTCCCCTCCCCACAACAGACACCCTGTGAGGTGGGGGGGACTGAGAGAGCTCTGACAGAAACTGCTCTTTTTCAAGAACAGCTCTTATCAGAACTACGGCTTGCCCAAGGTCATCCAGCCAGGTGCAAGTGGAGGAGGAGTGGGGAATCAAACCCGGTTCTCCCAGATTAGAGTCCGCACCCTTAGCCACTACACCAAACTGGCCCCGGCCAACCCGCCCCCTCACCTGCCACTGCTGGGAACGGCCCTAAGGACAAGGATGGGGTGCCTTCTTCCGCTCCGGAGTGTGGAAGCACAGGGCAGGCCATGAAACGAGAGAGGAGAAAGGCTTTCTGGAATGGCTTTCCATGGGCAGGGATTCCTGGGGCAGGAGAGCCTGAATAATTCCCTCCGCTGGAGCAATCGTGTGCTTGCCGTCTGTGGCTCAGGGAAACAGAGAGAGTCGCTTTGCCACGGGCCCCCTTCCGCATGTCCATCTGGGGCAGAACCGCCTGGGTGCTGAAGGACACCAAAATCAGCTGGCTTGGCAGCTCCTCCCAAGCTCTGCTCCTGCAGAGCGCAGGGGGTTGGACTAGATGACCTGCAAGGTCCCTTGCAACTCTAACATTCTATGTTTCTAAGAGTGGCTGAGCAGTGGGACAGTCTGCCTGGGGGGGGGGTGGATGCTCCTTCGCTGGACGTTTCCAAGCAGAGGCTGGGTGACCATCTCTCGGGTACGTTGTAGGGCCCTCTTTCGGCTATGCGCCTGCAGAATGCAGGGGGGTTGGACTAGATGACCTGCAAGGGCCCTTCCAACTCTTTAACATTCTATAAGTCACATGTCGATTTTCAAAGGGCCGCACTTCAAAAGGCGGCACGGAATGCATCCTCTCCACTTTGCAGCCCCCAGCTGGTTCCCGACCAGCTCTAAAAATGGTTTTTAGCTTCCTCATTGTCTTCTCCTGGGCATGAGTGGAAAAGGGGGGGGGAGCGGCAGACGGCCCTGCCTGCCTCCAGCAAGAGCGCCGCTCCCCCCCCCCCCATTAACTTGGCTCTCCAGCCCCAGGGAGACACTTTTACAAGTTCCAATTCCAATTAAAGCTCTTTGTTCATTAAGGAAGGGATGCTATTCCTGGCGCATAACAATGCTCATTGACAAAGCGCATAATCGCTGCATGGGGAGGAGGGGGAGGGGGAGGAGGAGGGGCCGGGCAGCTACAGAGGAGGAAGCCAGCAGCTTGCGGAGCGGGGCCACAACACAGAAACTGCCACCTGGGGGTCCGCTGGCCTGACTGCCCAGCTCCTAGGGGTCCCCTGCTGGCCTCGGTTCCTGTCGCTGCTGGCTACCATCCATCGGTGCTCCGGACCATGATGCCACACTTCCCTCCCACGAAGGCCATGCACAGCGGAAAGAGGCATCACGGAACACAGCCGCTGTGCCCACAGTGCGGTGAGGCAGCCATGTCTGTGGGCAAGCACCAGTGCGTTCCCGGGTCAAGCTGTGCCCAAGAACACAGCAGGAGAAGGGGCAGTTGGAGGGCAAGGGAGGCAGGGGGAGCGACAGGGGTGCAGGCCCACAGCTGAGGCCTTGGTAGAACTTGGAGCCCTGCGGTTCATCTCTGCCCCAGGCCCCTCGGGCGGTCTCGGCCAGCTCACACTCTTTGGGCCTGCCTCTACGAGGGGAGCGACAGCAGCCCACCTCACAGGGCTGTGACGTGGCTGACCACCATGTGGAATGTTTTGCAAGCCGTAAGTGCCTGTCTGCGTTGCCAGAGGAGTCACGTGGCCAGCAAGGGGAAACAGCCAGCTGGCTCATCTCCTCGCCACCCTGCCCCGTGGACACATAAGAAGAGCCCTGCTGGATCAGCATTCTGGCCACACAGTGCTCAATCAGCTGCCGCGAGGAAGCCCGCAAGCAGGAAGGCTGCCACAGCCTAGGGTTGCCAGCCTCCAGGTGGGACCTGGAGATCCCCCGGAATTACCGCTCATCTCCAGAGTACAGAGATCAGTCCCCCTGGAGAAAATGGGAGCTTTGCAGGGCGGACGCCATGGCACTGTACCCCACTGGGGCCCCTGTCCTCCCCAGACTCCACCCCCAAATCTCCAGGAGTTTCCCCACCTGGAACTGGCAACCCGTCCCCATCTGCCATCCCCCAGCGGTGGCCAGGGGGGACCCGGCTACCCTACAACAGCCAGTTTGGTGTAGTGGTTAAGTGCGCAGACTCTAATCTGGGAGAACTGAGTTTGATTCCCCGCTCCTCCTCCACTTGCACCTGGCTGGATGACCTTGGGCCAGTCACAAGTTCTCTCAGAGCTGTCCTTGAAAAAGAGCAGTTTCTGTCAGAGCTCTCTCAGCCCCGCCTACCTCACAGGGGTGTCTGTTGTGGGGAGGGGAAGGGAAAGGAGCTTGTCAGCCGCTCTGAGACACCTTTGGGTAGTGAAGGGCCATGGGGTATAAATCCAATCTCTTCTTCTTCATCATCATCATCACTTCTGTGATCCCCAGCCGTGGATTTAAAGAGGCAGACCACCTCTGGTTCCGGAGGGCGTAGTAGGTGTCCGTCACGACTAACAGCCTGTGATAGCCCTGTCTTCTGTGAATTTGTCGACTCCCCTTTTAAAGCCTTCCAAGTTAGCAGCCATGACCACATCCTGTGGCAGCAAGTTCCACAAACTAACTGTAAAGACTTCCTTTTGTCTGCCCTGAATCTCCCACCCTTCAGCTTCAGTGGATGACTCCCAAGTTCTAGTATTATGGGAGACAAAGAAAAGCTTCTTGACAGCCAGTTTGGTTAAGAACGTGGACTCTAATCTGGGAGAACCGGGTTTGATTCCCCACTCCTCCACATGCAGTTGCTGGTGTGGCCTTAGGTCAGTCACAAGCTCTCTCAGAGCTGTTCTCTCAAGGGCAGTCCTTGAAAGAACTCTCTCAGCCCCACCTACCTCACAGGGGGTGTCTGTTGTGGGGAGGGGAAGGGAAAGGAGTTTGTAAGCCGCTCTAAGACTCCTTCAGGTAGTGAAGGGTGGGGTATAAATCCCATGTCCTCCTCCTCCTCCTCCTCCTCCTCCTCCTTCTTCTCCCTGCCCACTCCATGCATAATCTCTCCTTACTGGCCTTTTTTCTAGGCTAAACAGCCCTCAGTGTTTCAACTGACCCTCAGAGAGCAGCTGCTCCAGCCCCGTGATCGTTTTGGTTGCTCTTTTCTGCACCTTTTTAAGTTCTACAATATCTTCAGCTGTGATGACCAGAACTGAATACACTATTCCAAGTGTGGTCTCACCCTACATATATGTACAAGGGCCGTACGACAGCGGCAGTTTTATGCTAGATTCCTGTTCTAGCCATGGCCAGCATGGAATTTGCCTTTCATCAAGCCGTCAATCTCACACTGAATCTCATTTGCCATTTTAATAGCCACCCCACCCCCCCCCCCCCCAGTTTGGAGAGATCCTTCTGGAGCTCTTCACAATCTGTTTTTGTGGTAACCACCCTAAATAATTTGGTGTCATCTGCAACATTCCCTCTAAGCTATGGAGTCTTGAGAGCAAAACTTCTACTTGCTGAGCTCCTGGCATTAAAGTTGTGAGTGAGCACTTTGGCTACGGCATAAATTAGTTTGCTCTGGAGCCATCCTTCCTGAGCTAAGTCAAAAATCTGTGAGCTGGAGTCTAAAAAACTGTGAGCTAGCTCACACTGACTCAGCCTAGAGGGAACACTGGTCACCTGCAAACTTGGCCACCTCACTACTCACCGCTAACTCCAGGTCACTTATTAACAAGCTGAAAAGCACCACCGGGTTCCAACACAGATCCCAAAGGGACCCCACACAGCTCACATCCTTCAATTGCGAGGAAGAACTGAGCCTTTAGTCCTGCTCTCTGCTTCCTGTTTCTTAGCCAGTTTCTGTTGGGAGTTTTCAGTTTGCAAATGTCATTCCCTTCTGTCTTGAAAGAGTTAACCTGTCTTGTTTATGCCCTAGCTGGTTAGTTTAGAACCAATTAGGTGTGTATTTCCCACCAGGGAAAGGGAGGTATCATTCCTAATGAGATAAGTTTGGAAACTGCGCTTGGCTCATCAATCACTTGGTTGGGGTGCATGCTGTTTGTCACGTACACAAAAGGTGGGGGGTTGGGGGGTAAACTCCGCCTCCTTTGTTCCCACACTCAGATCAGCAACCAAAACTAGCAAGATGTAGAACTAGAAAGCTAGACATAACTTTGCTGTTCTAATTCCATGTAGACGAAGAAGAGAGGAAGAGATTGGATTTATACCGTGCCCTTCACTTGGAGTCTCAGAGCGGCTTACAAACTCCTTTCCCTTCCCCTCCCCACAACAGACACCCTGTGAGGTGGATGGGGCTGAGAGAGCTCTGACACAAACAGCTCTTTTTCAAGGACAGCTGTGCCAGAGCTTGTGACTGACCCAAGATCACATCAGCAGGTGCAAGTGTAAGAGTGGGGAATCAAACCCGGTTCTCCCAGGTTAGAGTCCGCGCACTTAACCACGAGACCAAACTGGCTCTCTGTAACCCTTCCCTGTTTTCTAGCAAAGTTTCCTTATAAAGCTAATCACACGCGTGTGCTGTGTTGCTTTTTACTCTGCTAAGTATCCCACCGTTTCCAGCCCACACGAAGACAATGCTCAGCCCCCCTCCCCACCCCCCGGCCCAAGCTGGGACACAGAACTCTCTGCCCCAGCAAAACTCACATTTTGGACTGCTGCAGAATCTGGATCGCATTCTCTGCTGAGAGGTTCCACTTGGCCTTAGCCACCCAGCCGGTGGCATCGTAGCGGACGGGGTCTTGGCCAAGGTGGTGGGAGATCTCAAACTGCAGCGGCTGCTCACACTTGCGGAGGAATCCCTGCTCTGGAAGGAGGAAGCATCAGCACGGTTGGTCAGCAGGCGGCAGGGGGCAAGTCAGGAAGCAGCACGAACCAGGGGCACCTGCTGCCCGGGCACCCACCAAGCGGGGAGGCTGCTTGAGTGGTTCAGGGGCCTGGCGGGCTCTGTAGACCTCTGAGGCCTTCCCACAGCCCTCCCCACCCCCAGCCATTCTCCATTCGCCATCTCCTCCTGCAACATGTGAAGCCCGCACCCACCGCCCTTTTCCAGGTAAAGGTTTCCCTCGCTCGAAAGCCAGTCGAGTCCGACTCTAGGGTTGCGGTGCTCATCTCCGTTTCCAAGCCGAAGAGTCAGCGCTGTCCGAAGACTTCTCCATGGTCATGTGGCTGGCCTGACTAAACACCGAAGCACACGGAACGCTGTTCCCTTCCCACCCAAGCGGTACCTATTTATCAACTTGCAATTTCTTGCTTTCAAACTGCTGGGTTGGCAGGAGCTGGGGCCAGAGACGGGAGCTCACTCCGTCATGCGACCCTCGGGTCTTAAACTGCCGAACTACAGGCCTTCTGGTCAGCAGCTCAGCGTCTTAACCACTTGAGCCACCACAGACCCTGCCTCCCTTTCCCAAGCACAATTTAAAAAACCAGGAAAGCAGAATGTTCAAAATTTGCAAAACGTCTCTAGAAAATCTGTGTTTGCAGGGTTGGAGGGGAGGGGAGGTTATACTTCAGAATGATTTATCAATGAATTTGTCTTGATTTATTTATTAATGCATTAACAGTAATTAATTGATCGATCAGTTAATGTATTAACAATCCATTGAGCCAGCAGTCTGGGACAGAACCAGTCTGACAAATACCACCCTCTCTTTCCATCCCCGCATAGAAACCGCCGCCACCGCCAGAATGCCCCCACAGCCCGCAGCCAAAGTAAGAATCAATGTATTTTTAAAATGCACAGGCTGCCTCTCCAGACACCTGGAGTAAAAACAATGTCATAAAATCATCAAAGCAACAACATAAAATTATCACTAATGAAAGAAGCCATAAACACAAACCAGGGGCATAAAAGCCAACACAGAACAATACTCAACAGACTAAAATCATATTCATAAAACTGTCCACAGGTCTGAAGCAGGGTATAAAACCAGCTGAGAACGGGGGAACCCCTCCGTTAAAGGCCTGGGTCAAAGGAAATGTTTCTGGCCTGGCCCCTCAGGCTGCACAGCAAGTGGCAGGTGAGCCGGGAAGGGGGATGGCACCCTAGAGCCAAACTGCCACTGCTGAAATGCTCCTGCAAAGTGCCGGGGGTTGGACTAGATGACCTCCACGGTCCCTTCCAACTCTAACGTTCTGTGATTCTATTAAATGAAGTTCTATGGTTCTGTAGCTGCTGCTCACCTCTGAAGGTGGGGGCCCAGGGAGCAGGGCTCGAAAGGCTACTCTTAATTGGCCAGCTGGATAATAGGGGAGGGGGTAGCCAGCCCTTCGTACATCTTGGCCCCTCACCAGGTAGAGCCTTAAAGGTAAGAACCAGCACTTTGAATTGCGCCTGGAAACAGGCAGGCAGCCAGTGTCGATCTTTCAGCACAGGGGGGATGTGACCCATAGATCTTGCCCCCCCAGCAGTAGCCTGGCGACCACATTTTGGTGACGTTCCCAGACAGTTTTCACTGGCAGCCCCCATCTCCACTGTGTTGCTCCAGCCCTCCAACCTGGATGCAATTGGCCCATGGGTCACCAGGCCCTGATTCCACTTCCCGAGGAACGGCTCCGTCCTGTTATATTTGAGAAGATGCTCTTAGGAGGTTGAAGGGGGTCTAGTCTGGCAGGACACACCCCGGGCTTGACCACCAGAAACGGAAACCGCCTCATCCCTTGAAGCTGCCCCCAAGCCCTTCCGCCCAGCCACCCCGCCCCGCCCCACCCTCCATTTTACCTTCCTCCTGTGTCCCTTCCTTCACAAAGTAAGAGCAGAGGCGATCGAGTGCGGTGCTGTCGCTTGAGCCGTGGACCAAGGCCTCCTCGTCCAGAACCCAGAGCAGGCCCTTGGGCTCCTCCGCCTGGGCCCCAGCCGAGACGTGGACCTGCAGGGGGGAGGGGAGAGACTGTCCGTGCCGAGCAGCACAGGAGGTGCGGGAGCTTCCCAACGGCTCTCCCACGAAATGCCCTGCCCAGGAGAAACTCACATCCCACCAGTCCTTGGGAGATGGATCTCACCCCCGGTTGCCAGGTCCCCCCCTGGCCACAGGCAGGGTGTGTGTGGGTGCGGGGGGGGGGGAGGGTTGCCATACAGTGTTCCCTCTAAGCTGAGTTAGTGTGAGCCAGCTCACAGTTTCTTAGCCTCCGGCTCATACATTTTTGTCTTCGCTCAGGAAGGATGGGGCTCCAGAGCAAACTAATTTATGCAGTAGCCAAATTGCTCGCTCACAACTCGCAAGACTCCACAGCTTAGAGGGAGCCTTGGATGCCAGCTCCAGGTTGGGAAACTCCAGGCTGGGATCTGGGGGTGGAGCCTTGGGAGAGCAAGGAGATATAAACTTTATAAAGGACACAAACACAAAGATTTTTTTTTACATAAAATAAAAACATGCCTAAAACATTAGCACCCTTGCAATACTTTGTTTATTTAACAGCGCCTGATGTCTGACACCTCTTGCTCTGAATTATTGCATCAAAACTGTTGCAATCTTGAGCATGCTGTTCAGGTGTGTCTCTGTAAGCTGCAAACCTACTTTTGATTTATTGACATTCGCCACACAAACCTCATGCTCAGAGTTCTGAGCCTAGGACCCAGGGGGAAACACGAAATGGCTGAGTGATTGAGAGAGTCTGGCGAAATAAGCTATGATGCTGCAGCAGCAGCAGAACTGGGAGCAGGAGATGGCCAGTTCCAGTGCGGGCCTGATGGAAGCCCTGCAGGGGGCCTGATCCGGCCCCTGGCCTGCATGTTTGACACCCCTGCTCTAAGGCATCCCTTTTCCCCAGGGGAACTGCTCTCTCCAGTCTGGAGATGAGCTGTCATTCTGGGGGATCCCTAACCCTCCAAGGGTGCCCACATCTTTCCTGAAGCAGCTCTCTTCTCTCACAGGGAGGCCTCCTTTGCTTCCCAGCAACCAAGGGGCAATTGTGTCCCTGAGAAAAATCCATCTCTCCTTCCCAGCAGAGCATCAACTCCAGTCGCCTGCCCCATCTTTGCAGTGGTTATGCAGGCACTGTGGTCACCCAGTGGACCCCACCTACGTCACCCCTCTGCCAGTCAGTGCCACCACCAGGCCGCATGCAGCAGCCCCCCTCGGGCCACATAAGTGCTGCTTGTGGGCCCCAAATAGCATTCATTTGTTTTATGATTATCACGGTACACCACTGTGGACTGCGTGTGTGTCTGTTTCAGGTGAGAAAATGTCTCCTGCTGCCTCTGCCCCCACCCTAGCCAGACCGCTGCACAAGGTGTGAGCCACAACAGAGCACCCCTTGGCACGGGCAACTCCTGATCTCACCTAATTGCAGGGTGGCTCCTTCTGCAGACTCTTTTCAGGTGTGCGCAGATCTCACAGCAGGGCATAAAGGGGAGAGGGGGCCCTTTAGACAATTTGGGAGATAGTCAACACCTCAGACTGACCCCAACAGCTAACTGGTCACCAATGGAACAACTGTAGAACAGGGGCCCTATGCAAACTGCCTGGTCCCTGATAATGATTAACCTGCAGCATTCCATAGCAGCTGGAGTTTCTTGGTTGTCTTTGAGGCCAGGCCCCCCGTAGTGTTCATCACAGTAGTCTAGCTCCAGGGTTACCATGGCCGGATCAGACAGGGTCAAGGAAAGGAGCCATCTTCCAGGCTCAATGAAGATGGCAGAAACCATTCCTTTTGTTGCAGAGTTAACTTGCTTCTCCAGCAATACTCCAGAGTCCACTAAACCCCCCAAACTCTTAACTGAGCCAAGAAAGAAAGAAAGAAAAGAGTCAACTGAATCCCATCAAATGTGGGAAGTCCAAGGTCCTCCAAGACCTTAACATTCCCAACCAACAGTCACCTTTGTCTTGTCATGTCTCAAGTCTCCAACTGATTTATGATGGACATCAAAGGCTCACCGATGTGATCCTTACACAGTTCCAGCAACCAGGGCGGCCAAGGATCCAGAACACAAGTGGTGGCCATCACCGGTCCCAAGAGCCTGTCAACATCCATCATGGCCACAGAGTCAACACGATCCATAAACAGAGCAGGGAGCTCACCGGGCACTATGACTGCTTGAGCTCTATGACGGACGGCATTCAAATCAGAATGTACTAGCGGTACTTTAGCAGCAAAAACTTTGCAGAAGCGTCACAACTAATCATCATCAGGTCCTGAGAATTTAAGGACTCAGACCTCGGAGCTAGCAAGTGTCGAAATACCTTAAGCAACTGAGCCGATCCTGAGCTAGCTGTCATAACAGTCGCCGCGAAATAAGAGTCCTTGGCGCACCCACCGTCACCTCAGAAGCCTTCCCACGTGGCACGCTCGGTCAGATTCACGACGACTTCTCTGCCACCAGACTTTTCTCTAGACATCCCCCTGCCCTCTTCAAGTCACCCAGCCCCGTGATACACCCCTGGGGGATTAAACCAAGGGGTCCCCTTCAAAGGAGGGAGAGGACAACCAAGGCAGCCCTACGAATCACTTCCAGAAGCATCCCCATCCAAGCCTCCGTCCCAGCCTCAGCAGAACTATCACCTGGGATCCTAAAATCGCACAGGACAGTCTGGAAATCCAGCAGAAGCCATGAGTCTCTGTGGATGGCCCGTTTTAACAAGCCCCCTACCCCAGCAGAGAGGGGGACGCTGGGCCCAGCCCCACTGTCTGGAAGGCAGAGCTTCACTCCACCACCTCCCCGGACTAGCTCCAAGGGACACCACCCACAAAGATGCTCCAGCTGAAATGACCCCACAGATTCCTCTTTGAGACAGAGAGTGTGTTGGGGGTATGCTCTGGTCAAAGGGGAAAGTACAAGAGCCCCACAGGTTGGACTTGGAATGAGTACAACATCATGTAAGGGGGTCCACCTGGCCATCCGGGGCAAAATGCCTACATGGAAGTGGTCTGGGTTCCTCCTGAGCAAAAGAAGTTGCCCTTTGGGAGCCATGGCATGCACTGCTTGAATGACAATGTCAGCTGGCAGGTGCACTTGCTCTTTTGGAGAGCGTTTTCCATTTCCCCAGCCTGAAAGGACCCGCCTCCCAGGCCCACAGTTACTGTTCTGTTCCAGCCACAAACGCATGGAAGCATTTTGTGTCCCCCCCCCTCCCTTTGCCATCAGGGGAAATACTTGGGTTGCCGGCAAACACAGCACTGGCCTGTGCAAGACACAACATCCCTCGGGGGGGGGGGTACATAGGCGTCCCTTCCTGCCCCTAGAAGAGGTCATGACCATGGCAAAAGAGCTGCCCTCACTCTATTCCCCCCAAAAAACAAAAAAAACCTCTCTTTTTTTTACCTTGGATGAGTTTTTATCCATAACAGCCACGGTACTTGCAGGAGAAAGATCAGGCGGATCAAAAGCCATCTCGATATTTTCCTAGAAAACATTAATGAGAAGCTTTGCGTGTATATTTGAGTGAAAGAACAAAAGAACACGTTTCTTTAAAAGAAACCGCCCCCCCCCTCCTGCATCTCCGCTGTTGCTTGCTGACATTTTGGAGGTTCCTGATCAAAGTTTCCCTCCGGAGCATCTTTGAGCTGCCAGCTCCTCTAGAGCCAGGATCCTCTCTGCCCCAGGCATCCTGTCATCCACGGAGACGGGCACACCGGGGCTGCTGCGGGAACGTCAAACACGCTTCATAAAGAATGGACAGCCTTTCAAATCAGAGGGGTTTGCAGGAGCCCGGATGCTTATTTGAAGGAGTCACTCTTGGCTTGGCTGGTTTGAGTCTACGTGGAAGACTCTGCATTGACCACAAGGGGTGGCGGTGGCTACAAGCATGGACAGGTTCAAGAGGGAATTAGGTAAGCATCTGGAGCAGAGACCCATCAGTGGCTATGAGCCACAAGGTGTAGATAGGAGCTCTCGGTCTGGGGCAAGGGATGCTCTGTATTCTTGGTGCTTGTGGGGGGGGGGTCGACAGTGGGAGGGCTTCTAGTGTCCTGGCCCCACTGCTGGACCTCCTGATGGCACCTGGTCTTTGTGGCCACTGTGTGACAGACAGAGTGTTGGACTAGACGGGCCATTGGCCTGATCCAACATTGGCTTCTCTTATGTTCTTATGTTCTTAAACATCTGGAGCAGAGGTCCATCAGTGGCTCTTAGCCACAAGGTATAGATAGGAACTCTCTGTCTGGGGCCAGTGATGCTCTGTATTCTTGGTGCTTGGGGGGGGGCGCAACACTGGGAGGGCTTCTAGTGTCCTGGCCCCACTGCTGGACGTCCTGATGGCACCTGGTCTTTGTGGCCACTGTGTGACACAGAGTGTTGGACTGGAGGGGCCACTGGCCTGATGTCAGCAAGCTGCCATTCTGTTTTCTGTGACCTCTGTGTACATATCCTTACCCTGTTGCACCCGGCTTGTTTACACTATCCTGCTTCTGTGCTGGAATGCCTAAGATAACTACTGGTGGATGTGTGGGGGAGAAGATGCTGTAATGCTGGCCTATTGCTATCTCATGAGAACTGCACCTGTGTTTTGTCTGATGTTCTGCCTGGTTCCCATGGACTGGGCGCGCAACCGTTTCATTAGCCCGCCAGCGGGAATATTATTCATTGGATATGTATCTGTTTGAATTTCCTTTATTATACTCGCCCTACCTGTGTATCCCCAGTTCTAACAAAGAACGTGTTTGAGTATGTCTTCAACGCTTTGAAATAAATTTTGCTTTTCTTGAAAACGTGGATTTATTCTCGATGCTTGGGGATCCAACATATTGTTAGAACTCCCTTTCTCCTATCGTTCCGAATCTGGCAAGATCATGAGCGGAATTGAGGGAAACCTACCTAACACGGAGGGGGACTCATCGCATCTCTGGGGGGAAGGTGGAAATGGACCCTGCTAAAATACAGGCTGTACTTGACTGGGAACCCCCCAGGACCCGCAAACAATTGCAAATGTTCCTCGGATTCGCCAATTTTTATAGAAATTTCATCCAGAATTTCGCTCAAATTGCCCTTCCTCTGACTGATTTGCTAAAGACCAAGGGGAAGGGGTTTGATGCTACGAAACCAGGCGCCCCGCTTAAATGGTCCCCTGCTTGCGCAGAGGCTTTTGAGAAACTTAAACTGATGTTCACATCTGAGCCAGTGCTAGCGCGCCCTGATGAAACTAAAAAATTCATTGTCCAAACTGATGCCTCGGATGTGGCAATGGGGGCCGCTATTTTGCAAGAAGGGGAAGATGGTCGTTTACACCCCCTCGCATTTGTGTCTAAAAAGTTTTCTGACGCTGAACGAAACTGGGGGATTTGGGAGAAGGAGGCGTCGGCTATCCGGCTGGCTCTCTCCACTTGGAGGCAGTGGTTGGAGGGGGCGCAACTGCCATTTGAAGTCTGGACTGACCATAAAAATCTGGAAATGCTGAAATCCCCCCGTTCTCTCAACGCTAAACAACTTCGTTGGGCGGACTTCTTTGCTAAGTTTCGATTCACTCTTCGTCATTTCCCTGGGACGGCTAATTCCCTGGCTGACGCGCTCTCACGCCTCCCACAACATGACAGTCAGCGTGAAATCATCATGGACTCTGTTTTTTCCCCCTCCCACCTGGGGGGGGCTGTGGTCACCCGTGCGCAAGCGCGCTCGATTCCGCGCTCTGATGAAACTTCGCCTTCCCTTTTCCCTGTGGGGGGGGGGCCTGGGTCCAGAAATATGTTTCTGCTTTTACTGATGAAGATAATGCCTCCCTGCGGGCATTGCCGGATTATGTCCGTAGCCCAGAAGGTCTGATTTATTCTGGGGACAAACTGTATGTGCCTATTTCAATGAGGAGGGAAGTGATGGATTCTGCTCATGGTTCCAGACTGGCAGGACATTGGAGTTTTGTTAAATCACTGCAACTCATCCGCAGACAGTTTTGGTGGCCACACATGCGCAAAGACCTATTGACTTTTGTTCGATCCTGTCAGACCTGTGCCTTAACTAAACCCAGGGGGGGCAAGCCTCCCGGTCTTCTGCAACCACTCCCTACTCCATCGAGGCCTTGGGAAGTGGTGTCCATGGACTTTATTACTGATCTCCCTGTGAGCAAAGGGAACACTGTTATTTGGGTGGTTGTTGATTTGTTTTCTAAGCAAGCTCATTTTGTGCCTTTTCCTTCCTTGCCTACAGCTCAGAGGTTGGCGAAATCGTTTATGTCTCACGTGGTGAAAATTCATCAATTACCTGCTAAATTAATTTCTGACAGGGGGACCCAATTTGTTTCTAAGTTTTGGAGGGAACTTCTTTCCATTTTAGGGGTGGAACAAGGGCTCAGCAGCGCGTATCATCCTGAGACTGACGGACAAACAGAACGAGTGAATCAGACCCTGGAGCAATATCTTCGTTGTTTTACTAATTATCAACAAAATGATTGGTGTGAATTGTTGCCTCTTGCTGAATATTGTTATAACAACACTGTCCATAGCTCCACGGGCATGTCTCCTTATAAAGCTGTTTCTGGTTACGACAGCCCCCCCTCCCTTTCCTGGAGGGGATGGGCCAACGTCCTGTGGGGGATGCTGATACATGGTGTATGTCCTTGCAAAATGCATGGCCTCTGCTATGCCAAACGCTTGACGCAGCCAAGGCTGCTTACAAGACCCAGGCAGACAAGGGTAGGGTGGTGGGGTTTGATCTGAAACCTGGGGATCTTGTGTATGTCTCGACCAAGAACATTAAGATGCTGCGACCTAGCAGGAAATTGGGGTGGAAGTTCATTGGTCCATTCAAAGTGCGTAAAGTCATAAATAATGTGGCGGTTGATGTTGTTTTGCCTAAGAATTTACGTGCTCTGCATTCTGTTTTTCACATGAGCCTGTTGAAGAAGGATCCTGGCCCGTCTCCCTGGAGACCAGCAGTTACTCCTCCTCCACCTGTCATTTTGGAAGGGGATGAACATTTTGAGATCGCTGATATCCTTGATTGTAAATTGAAACGTGGTAAACTCTGGTACCTTATCGAATGGGTTGATTTCGGTCCCCAGCACCGCGAATGGGTGGAAGAAGGGGATATTCGGGCCCCTTACCTGATCCGTAGTTTCCACAAGAGGTTCCCGGACAAACCGGGAGGTCTCCCGCCCAGCCCGGGAGATCTCCCACCCGACCCGGGAGGTGTGTTTTAAGTGTATTTTAAGGGGGGCAGTATGTCAGCAAGCTGCCATTCTGTTTTCTGTGACCTCTGTGTACATATCCTTACCCTGTTGCACCCAGCTTGTTTACACTATCCTGCTTCTGTGCTGGAATGCCTAAGATAACTACTGGTGGATGTGTGGGGGAGAAGATGCTGTAATGCTGGCCTATTGCTATCTCATGAGAACTGCACCTGTGTTTTGTCTGATGTTCTGCCTGGTTCCCATGGACTGGGCGCGCAACCGTTTCATTAGCCCGCCAGCGGGAATATTATTCATTGGATATGTATCTGTTTGAATTTCCTTTATTATGCTCGCCCTAACTGTGTATCCCCAGTTCTAACAAAGAACGTGTTTGAGTATGTCTTCAACGCTTTGAAATAAATTTTGCTTTTCTTGAAAACGTGGATTTATTCTCGATGCTTGGGGATCCAACACCTGATCCAACACTGGCTTCTCTGATGTTCTTATGACCAAACCAGCTCTTTCATCTCCGGTGCCACCTTCTGCGAGCCCTGGCCGGTCTGGGACCAGGTGATGGGAAGTGCTGCCTGCTCATCTGCATACCCTTCCCTCTTTGAAGGAAAAGGGTCCAGTGCCTGGAGATGGGGCCTTTTCAACAGTAGCTCCTGGACTCTGGAATCTCCTCCAGAGCTTCCGTTTCCAGACTTGGCTGCTCTGTTTTCATATATTTGTTATTTGTGAGTTGTTCCCTTCAAAACAAATGAAACCACACTCCTTCTGTCCCAGTGAACATGCATTTTAATGGTGCTAATGCAAGGTGCCCCCAGGCCAGGGCGAAACATCCCCCCCCCCCCGCAGCCTTCCTTTGGCCAGAAGCCTGTGACGCAGGGCCTCACCTGCCGGTACCTCTCCAGGGTGGAGACGAAGGTTCTCTCGTAGAAGAGCATCTGCAGCCGGTCTTGAGCATAGTTGTGGCAGAGCTCTTCAAACGTCGCAGCCCTTTCCTTCCTGTGGTGTCGCGGGTTGCAGAAGCCGGGGGTGTCCACCACCATGATGGAGGCCATGGAGAGATGGTTGGAGGAGAAGGACCTGAGGAGACACAGGCAGACGTATGGGATCCAGGGAGTTGTCTGAAAGTTTGTGGAAACCAAGAAGGACGCGTATTTTCCCCAGGTGTGTGTGTGTGTGTGTGTGTGTTAAGCAGCTCCAGGACGCAAGGAAGTGGCATGAGAGGAAAAAAGGTCCTTCTGCCCCATGTCATGTGGGGTTCCCAGGTCCACCATGGCCACCGGGGGGGGGGGATGGGAAGGCAGGGCTACCAAGCCAAGCTGGGAAGCTCCTGGAGATTTGGGGATGGAGCCTGGGGAGAACAGGGGGACCTCAGTGGAGTACAGCACAATAGAGCCCACCATCCAAAGCATCCCTTTCCTCCAGAGGACCTGATCTCCGTAGTCTGGAGATGAGCGTAATTCCAGGGGATCCCCAGGCCCCACCTGGAGGCTCCTAATACAACAATCAAGACTAAAGTGGAGAATCCAGTCCAAAGATGGCTAAACATGTAATGAACAGCTTGGCATACACTAAATATTTTCAAACATTATATCAGTTATATTATTGATCTCCAGTAAATAACATTATTGTGACAATAAATACAGTTAATGAAAAATAAATGAAGTTATTGTTATTATTAAGATACATGAAGCCAGTTTGGTGTAGTGGTTAAGTGTGCGGACTCTAATCTGGGAGAACCGGGTTTGATTCCCCACTCCTCCACTTGCACCTGCTGATGTGACCTTGGGTCAGTCACAAGCTCTGGCACAGCTGTCCTTGAAAGAGCAGTTTCTGTCAGAGCTCTCTCAGCCCCACCCACCTCACAGGGTGTCTGTTGTGGGGAGGGGAAGGGAAAGGAGTTTGTAAGCCGCTCTGAGACTCCAAGTCTCCAATCTCTTCTTCTTCTTCTTCTATTGTGATTGTTTAAGATACATGAAGTTATTGTGATTGTTGACGAGAACCTCCAGATTGAGTTCCGTTTCATCTCTTCGTCCGAACAAACCTTCAATAATGTTTGGAACACCCAATGCAACGTGTATACGGAGAATGAATTATTGATTAATACTACTGGAAGATATTTGTATGACACGCAGGAATCGCGGCTAGAAAGATTAGAATGGGACAATAATAGGACTGTCTGAAACCCTTATTGAAGGTTTGTTCAGACGAAGAGACGAAACGGAGCTCAATCCGGAGGTTCTCCTCAACAATCACAATAACTTCATGTATCTTAAACAATCACAATAACTTCATGTATCTTAATAATCACAATAACTTCATGTAGTTTTCATTAACTGTATTTATTGTCACAATAATGTTATTTACTTGAGATCAATAATATAATTGATATAATTGAAAATATTTAGTGTCTTGTATGCCAGTCTGTTCATTACATGTTTACCCACCTGGAGGCTGGCATCCCTTGGTCCTTCTGCCCCATGAAAGCAGCCGCCCTAGAAGCTGTGCTTGGGAAAGACAAGAAAGGTCTTCTCGTCAAATGAGTCGTTCCACCCCTGTCCTTTTGGGTGCCAGGCGGGACCAAGCCCAGCTGAGGCCTTTCCAGCCTCTCCCTCCTGCCCAAAGAAGACCGGCAGGCAGGCAGGCAGGTGTGAGGCCAAGCCCCTGGCTCTCAGGCAATCCTTGGTTTGCTCCACATGCACAGGGGCAGGATATGAAGCTCCCAGACCACATCCAGAAAGCCCCAATGGCCGCCTCCTGCTTCTGCTGCACATCACTCACTTTGCCTCTGCACCCCAAGAGATTTCAGGAAAGGGCAGCTTGGAAGGAGCCGCTGTGTAAGTCGCTGTGGCCAGCTCCCTCTCTGCTTGATTCTGGGGCCCTGCTTCCGACGGCCAGACTGAGACAAGCCAGATGCAAGGCAGTATGTGGCTGAAACTGAGAGGGGAGACCAAGACCCTTGCTGCAAAGGGTGGCAGCTAACTCAGAGGGGGACAACATTCTATCCCTGGGAGGCAGGGCAGCATCTCTGCCTGGTTCCCGGAACAAGAAAGGCATGGATTGAGGATTTGCTCCAGGAATCTCATTCTGGAACCCTGCCAGTGTCTCCTGGGTTTCCAGGAGCACAGTGGAAGAAGAAGAAGAAGAAGAAGAAGAAGAAGAAGAAGAAGAAGAAGAAGAAGAAGAAGAAGAAGAAGAAGAAGAAGAAGAAGAAGAAGAAGAAGAAGAAGAA